TTTTTTTTTTTTTTTTTAAACAAAATACGAAACAACAACCCACCCAAAAAATAGGAGATATAAATATGGGGTGTTAGGAAAAGACCTCTCCTCTCCTCTCCTCTCCTCTCCTCTCCTCTCCTCTCCTCTCCTCTCCTCTCCTCTCCTCTCCTCTCCTCTCCTCTCCTCTCCTCTCCTCTCCTCTCCTCTCCTCTCCTCTCCTCTCCTCTCCTCTCCTCTGCTTCTCCCTCCTCCCTCCTCCCTCCTCTCCATTCCTTTCATCTACGTCGGTCTCCTTCTCGACTGCTCCTCACTCGCTGCAGGATGGGCTCATTGTGATCAAGTTGGCGCCTGGAGCTCCCGCAGCAGGTGTGCGATGAGATAGTCTTGTGCTCGTTGTCTTCGATCTCAACCTGCTCTCCGTCTTTTCTTGTTGTTTCGTGCTCCTTGATCGTCGCGTTATGTTTGCTTCTGATCTCCATCCTCCCGCAGCCTCCAATCAGATCGAGCTGGAAGACATTCTCTTGAAAGGTAAGAATACTTCCTCCTCCTCCTCCTCCTCCTCCTCCTCCTCCTCCTCCTCCTCCTCCTCCTCTTGCCTCTCCATACAAGCTCCCGCTCGACATGATATCTTCATCCTCTCCGACGCTCTCGCAGGTTGATGGCAAGGCTGTCAGCACAGCAGAGGAGGCGGCCGAATGCATTTTAGGGGATAAAGGATCGGAGGTAAGCGAGAGGAGGAGGAGCGAGAAGGAGCAAAGTGGAGGAATAGCGATGGAGGAAGCGAGGAGAAAGGGTGGAGGGGAGAGAGAAGGGAGTCTGCATGAAGGAAGGGGAGGAGTGGGGAGCAAGTGGAGAGGAGAGGAGAGGAGAGGAGGGTGGTGCAGGGCGGCTATGAGGGGAATGGGGGTGTTGACAATTCCGTTATCAGATTCACTTGTTGTTCCAACGAGTAGTTGGAGGCAAGAAGGTGATGCGGCTGCTTTCCTCGTCTCTCACCTCCTCCTGTCACCTTCCTTTCGCCCCTCCATCTCTTTCTCCTCACTCTTTTCCTGTTTTCCCGTGTATTGCTCTGAGCCACCCGTTCTTCAGGTCAAGTTTCCTGTGCGGTTGATAAGAGGGAAAGTTTGAGGGGAACGGACATGTAACGATAAGAGATGCTGGTGGTGATGATGACGGGGATGAAGATGATGGAAGAAATCAATGAAGGAGATGAAAGGAGATTGAGATTGTGTTGCAGCGAGTCACTTTCACAAGAAATTTCAATAAAAAGAATAAAAACATTTCCTTCATCGACCCTCTTCTCTTCCGTCACGTCAGTACGGGGCGAGGGATTGCAGGAAGCCAACGGCAAACCCGAGAACAGCACCCACTAGGATGAGAGTGAGCTCATCCTCCTACCAGAGAGTGAGCCAGTCGCAGAGGGGGACAAGGGAGAGCGAGATGAAGTAGTGAGAAAGGAGGAGGGAGGAGGGAGGAAGGAGGAGGGAGGAGGGAGGAGGGAGGAGGGAGGAGGGAGGAGGGAGGAGGGAGGAGAGGGTAATGAGAGGATGGAGGGAGGTAGAATGGAAGGGGAAGGTGAGCACCTGAAAGATTGGGTGTAAAACATGTTCGAACTGTTTTGATGACATCTTCTTCATCTTCTCCGTCATTTCCTGTAATCGTCTGTCAGCTAATGATGTTGCATCCATCACAAATCTTTGTGGACATCCCGTTCATCATTTATCCCCACCTCCACAACCATTATCACCATCACCATCTCCATGATCATCATCTCCATCACCATTGCCATCATCATCGCCATTATCGTCACAATCTTCATCATCACCACCACAATCCTCAGCATCAACATCAGCATCATCAGCACCACCATTGACATCTCCACTAGCAAGAACAGCTGGGTCACGTTTGTTGTCTGAAAGTCATACCGTCTCAAGCTGCAGCACAGCATCCATGTAATCGCAAAGAGCTCTTCTGTCGTTAACAAGTGTTTCTCGCAGCCTCTCCGCAATCAGCTGATACATCTGCTGTTCTTGTCATGTGCAAGTCTTGAGATAGAACCAAGGCGGGAACATGTCGAGGAAGTGAAAGAGAAGAGAGAAGATGAGATTAGAAGAGATGAGATGAGACCAGAGAAGACGAGACGAGACGAGATGAGATGAGATGAGATGAGACGAGACGAGACGAGACGAGACGAGATGGAAAACAACAATGGCACGAGCAGAAAGATGAGAAAGGAAACGAAGTGGAGGAAATTCGAAGATGGGGCATCAGACCGAGGAGATGATGAAGAGAAGACAAGGAAAGACAAGAATGATGAGGAGGGAAAGGGAGTCAGTGTGTCGTTATAGTTCCGACCTCTTCCTTCTTCATGCCCAGCGCTCTTTGAGAGACAAACCTCCCGATGTAACTATCTGTTGTGATGATCTCCATCACTGCAGGGGATAACAAGACATTCAATCTTTCATACCGATGTGGTCCATCAACATCCTATCAAAACCTCCCTGCGCGATGAGCAGACGCTATCACAACACGGCAAAGTGCTTGCTTGAAGTTTTCTTACCTCCTGCTGCCAAACAAGATCTCGTTCCATATCGCATCAGCAGTTAACACGCGACTCCTTAAGAATGCCGCGAACAGTTTTGAGACCTGGCGTGTCATCGTCATCATCATGCCATGATATTCTCTATCACCACGATCGCTATCATGATCATCATCATCATCATCATCATCATCATCATCATCATCACCACCACCACCACCACCACTACCGGCATCATCGTCTTCACCATTGTTTGTCACCGTCGTATCACAACACATGTAGCATTCACCGACCTCATTCTGACGTGTTAGAAACAATCCTTGAATCTTCCAAGGACCAATCATTATTGGCTCCACAGGCTCAAAGATGCTCTGCAGACATAAGATCAGATATCTTGCTGCTGCTGCTGCCGTTGCTGCTGCTCCTCCTCCTCTTTGACCTTGATTGCAATTAAGTTCGTGATGTAGCCCACTAACGCTCCTCCCACTGCTAGTGACCACCAGGGATCCCAAACAAGCCAAACTGCCAAGTAACGAAGTCACCACTATTACCAGCGTCAGCATCACCATGTCCATCATCATCATCATCATCATCATCATCATCATCATCATCACCACCACCACCACCACCACCACCACCATCATCATTATCATCATCATCATCATTGTCATCATCGTCGTCGTCATGACAAAGTTCACGTGCCTCCCATTTGAAAGATCCCGAGAAGGAACCCAAAGTACAAGCCTGAGAGTTTGTCAGCGACGTCCTCCTTCTCCTCATCCTCATCCACTAATCCACTTCCTCGTTCTTCTTCTCCTCTTCTGCCTTTAGGCGTCCGCATGATGTCCCTCAGTAAGGGGATAGTCCTGATCCTACTGTTGCTTCTCCTTCTCCTTCTCCTTCTCCTTCTCCTCCTCCTCTGTTTCCCTCAACCTCCCTGCCCCTTCTCAACCCTCCTCTTCCTGCTCCTCCTCTCACACACAAACTTCTGACCTGTTCTGACGATGAAGCTCAGCTCTTTCCTTCCGCATTCTTGGAACAGCTCCACAAGCAACTTTGACGGCAAGAATGAGTTGAGAAGAGAGATGAACATCTTCAGCCTCACCTTCTTGTTCTGTACCATCGCCCGCACCACCATCTCCTCCAGGTCAAGGATGTCAGTGATGTTGTTCTGCACATGTCACATGTAATGTCAGCAATGATAGCGTATCCAGACCTCAAATTCAAGACAACAGCAAGACATCTCAAAGTGGAAAGAGCGTCAACGGCGTCACTAGACATTCCCACCTGCATCTTGACGGTGAAAGTTTCGATGAATCTGTCAGCGGTGGAGACTGCTGGACCGAAGACAGCAGGGATATTCATCTGAGTGCTTGTAAGAGTCTGGGACAGAGAGAGAATGGGACCGGACACGGGGGAAGATTAGAAAAGAAAGAAGAAGCAGGGAGATAGAGAGCAGGCGATGTCTGGAGAGAAGAAAGGGGCATCGGAATGGAGCGAGAGAGGGGAGAGAAGGAGAGGAGGAGAGAAGGAGAGAAGGAGAACAGAAAGAAGGGACAACCGAAAATGAGAAGGAGGTGAGGAGAGGAGGAGAGGAGGAGGAGGGAGAGGAACAACAGAACAAGAGAACGAGAAGGAGGAGGAGGAGGGCAGAGAAGGGAGAGAGGAGGGGAGCAAGGGGCTCACAGTCCATCCAACTTTGAGATCCTTTGAGATCTGTTCCTGAGGTGTCAGCGAGGAGAACCAGCGGCAGGACAGGAGGCACCTTGTTGAGCGCTGACGGTACTACCGGGCTCAGAATCTCAACCACCTGTATCCCCGCAGGCAGCACGTTACAACCCCCAATGACCAGCTCCCTTCCTACCTCCTCTCTCTCCCCCTTTCAAATCCTCTCCACCCCTCCAACTCCCTTCGCTCCCTCCTCCCCCCCCTCCTCCCCAGTCCTCCCTCCTTCCCTCGACACGTCCTATCTGCCCTCTTCCTCCCTGGCTCTCTCCCTCTGCTCCACTGCCTGTCTGCCTCTCCTTGCTCCACCTTCTTCGACTCGACTCTGCATGCGACATCTTTGACGTTGATGAGCTTTAAACGTGTCAGGGCGGAGGAGAGGACGAGGGAGGTTGTTGTTCACCTGCGACGTCACCATCTTCATCATCCTCTGCGCCATCGTGCGAGCCTGCAACGCGCGTGAGCTTGCGATCCAAGAACAGCTCTGACACGAGAGCAACGACAGAGCAAAGAAACAAGAACAATCGCAGGGATGAAAAGCAGAACAGCAAGGCATTCAGCAATCCTCAGCTGTTCTGACATCTTCGGGCATACAAAGTCATGCTCTCACCTTTGCGGGAACTATCCCAGTCCATCCTATCAGCCCCAACGGCTGACAGACCGAGTGAGCCGATCACAACAGGGAACATCCCTTCCCTCCGTCTTACCTGCTCCTTGAACACCTGAACAAGAACAGTTGTCAACGTCATTGCACCAGCAGCAAGGAGCTCAAAGACCTTGATCGGAATGCCGATGAACGTTAGAGGATAGAAAATCATCTTCACTGCTAGGCTGCGCAAACCCTCTCACTCCCCACAACCTTCAAGTTGCGTTGGACCTGTTTGTCGCCCAGTTGAGAAGACCTGCGATGATTGGGATCGAGCAGTACAGCAAAAAGTTTGACTGCGGGCATCACGATCAGTGGATACAAGCAAGAAGATACAACGGACCTTGAACTTGAGCCATAGTTGTCTTGTAAGCAATGATCCTGTCTCGCTAGAAAGGGCAGGTAGAACCTGGAGGATGTGTTACAGGCTGGCAGGTTGCAGGGGTGCAACTCTTACATTGATAGGAGTGGCTGATTGTCGAGCGACAACAGAGTCCACATGTCAGGATTGCAGCAGAGAGAACAGGTACAGGACTGACCAATGTTTGCCAAGGAGAGGTCGCAAGTGCTGACAACGAGGACAGCAAGCGCTATGGCACGAAAGAGTTTGGCGAGAGCCTCGCGTTCTATCACATCCATGTCATGAGGTCAAACAGATCAGAAACACCCTCACTCTCTGAAAGCCTGTTGATCCTAGCTCTCTGTGATGATAAAAGCATGTTACAGGACAGCTACGATCATGCCGCACTCATACCGCACAGTCTTGATCTTTCTGCGTGACAGAGGATGGATAAACTTTGACGCTCTTCTGCAATGATTGTCAGAGAAGCAGCCACAAGCCATGTCGCACAACCTGTAGTGCCAATGATGACTTCATCATCACAGAATTGCTGCATCTTACACGATGTTGAAGGCTCCTACCCTGTGGCGCCTGGGATGTTTGCTGTTAGGTCTTGGTCACAACGAAATATTTGGCATTATCAATATTATCCTCCTCCTCCATCATCCCCTGCTCTCTCCCCTTTCCCTTCGATTGCTCTTCATTCTCGTCGTCGTCATTATCTTGGTCATCATATCATCCCCATTCTTCATCACCAACACCATCACGGCGATGGGGTTTATGTCAGCGTACCTTGAGAGGCAAGCTTGGCGATGGTAGGAAACAACTCGAAGGCCCCAGCAACAGCAGGACGAGAAACAAGCGGAACATCTCTTACGGCACGTAGCTGTTCTTCATCTTGAATGAAGCAAGCAGTCAGTCATCCCCCCCCCTCGCACCAAGCTCCAGCTTCAGCTGGAGGAATACATTGCGACCAGCATGCCCTCCCCTATCACTCTCCTTCTCCAGACATATGAGGATATCTTTGCAGCGCAATATCTTGACAGACACCACTGAGACCTTCTGTGTTTGTTTGTCACTTCTGTCAGGTACATGTCGCGATCCAAACTTAGCGATGCAGGTCCTCAGTGACTTTTCGTGCACACAACCATCCTTTCTCCTCCCGCCTTCATCTCACCCCTTCCTCTGCTCAGTTCTGCTCTCCTATTGTCCTCTCCCCTGCTACGATAGATGCTCTCTTCCTCTCCCGTCCTCCTTGCCCCGCTTCACTCCCTCTCCATGGCGGCCCCCCACTACGACTAGTGGATCCCTGTCTATTGCTTTAAGAATGGAATTCTACAGTAAACTGATATTTTATTCTTGTTCATATCAATTGACAATAAAATTTTCGATTAATATGCCTTTGGCTTCAATAAAATGTATTGCAAATTTATGGATCCCTTACAAGGGAACTGTCTCGGGACGGAAACAGCAGGGAGAACAGGCACAGGAGCAGGAGAGTCGAGCAAACCCAGCAGAAGCAGGAGTGGGAGAAGAAGTGGGAGAAGGGGCAGGGGCAGGGGCAGGGGCAGGGGCAGGGGCAGGGGCAGGGGCAGGGGCAGGGGCAGGGGCAGGGGCAGGGGCAGGGGCAGGGGCAAGAGGAGGAGGAGGAGCAGGGGCAGGGGCAGGGGCAGGGGCAGGGGCAGGGGCAGGGGCAGGGGCAGGGGCAGGGGCAGGGGCAGGGGCAGGGGCAGAGGCAGGGGCAAGGGCAGGGGCAGGGGCAAGAGCAGGGAAATATAAGATTACCATCGATTCGCAGCTGCTAAAGGGGATGCCAATGCGCCTTCTCGTTTTGGCCTGGGATCGCAGATGATGTAATATGTTGGCTGGTTGCGGGTTTCGGTGAGAATGAACGCTGAAGGTCATCATTGAGTGAGAAGAGTTGAAAGTAACTTGCTGCTCTGTGTAAAATCAGTGTTGCTCACCAGCGTTTCCTCTGAGCCTGTCTTCTGCTGATAAACGTTTCACACATGGCGCTCTATCTTCAAAGTTCACCCTGCGAGTCGAGTTCTATAACCCCTCTTGTTGGTATTTAGTACTGCACGAATGCAGAAATTGCCCAACTCATCTGCATCCTGACCTATTCTTGTTTGCTCGGATCATGATATCTTGGAACAATCTCACAGGAGAAAGTAGCAGTACCAACCTCTATATCCTTACGTCCTTGTCTACACTGAAACACTACTTCCCTTTCAGTATTGTTCAACACAATCTCGTTGACATCGTTCTCCTGGATCTGTTGCCCCCCTCTCCCTTCCTCACTTGACTTGATTCTTCTCTTCTCCCTTCTAGTTCTGGAGTTTTGCCATCAATCATAAGAATAAGGAAGGAAACTATTTGCGGATCGTTGAGAGGTGCTGCAGCTAACAACCCAGGAAGGAGTAGTGACTAGAACTACTGGAGCATGTTCTGATCTGCTCACTTGATGGTACAAATACTGATAGAAGCTAATAGTGTTTGCACGCTGAATACGGAGATGCATAGCAGAAGCGTTGAAGTAAACAGGAAGAGATGGAGACCTATCTCGTCTGAGTGACAAGATCGACATCTGTCAATGTTGGCGAGAAGTGAGCAGGATGGGAGCATCTCGTGGGGAAGTGGAGAAAGTTGGGATGTTCTTCTCAATGAATAAATAAGGTGGTTTTGAACGCATCTTTGATCTTTGAAATGACAATATAGGCAATGCTGTAGGATGTAGTTCGATTCGTTCATTGATAATCAAGTTTAAAACGACGAGGTCAGTTGCAAGACACTTGCTGGACCATGACGAGCGATCCAGCGCTCTCCGTTCTCTCCAAATGTTGCGTGTCGTCCTTCCTCCAAGAAGGGAAGACACTTGTACACAGACGTTGCAGGGCACTTGCGATCATCTTGATGTGCCATACCATGAAGTACTGCAGAAGAGGGCCAAACACCAACATGGTCATAATCGGGATCGTCAGGACCAGCAAGATGTAGCCGATCATGTTTCCTCGCATGTTCTGCAGGAAGAGGGAGGAGAAGGCAAGGTTGACGTAGCTGTGAGCTGCGAACGATCCCAGAGTCGTCGAGCCCGCGGTCTGTAGCTCAAGAGGAAGAGACCAGGTGAGAACGCACTCGCAGAGGACGGAGAAGAAGAGGACGACGACGAGGAGGCCCAGGCGAGTAAGGTGAGGCTGGTCGTAGAAGGTCCCGTCCTCCTGCACCCAGTTGTCCTCCTGCGCGTTGAATCTGTCGCTTTCGGTCAAGCTAATCAGCACGAGGAGCGACGACGAGAGGATGCCGAGGATCACTCGCATCAGCACGCGGAAGCTTCTTATCCTCCTGCTCATGCTCCCTGCGACCTCTTTCATCCTCTCGGTGATGACGCGAACGAACCATCGCCCGTAGTTGAAGCTGAGGATGTAGAAGAAGACGGTGAGGAGGTACTTGCGCGTGATCACGTACCGGAAGGCTGCATAGGCGTAGGAGGAGGCCTGAGGCTCAATGCCGCGGATGAAGAAGTGGAAAAAGCCTTCCACGGGCTGAGGGGCACTTTCCCAGCTCATCCAGGCGGGGATGACGTCACTGGCGCAAGCCTGAGAGACGCAGACAATGTTGGGCGGGGAGATAAAGAGCGCCATGCTCACGACGAGCAGCTGCAGGAGGGGGGGGACGTGGAGGCCGCGGAAGACGACGACGGCGAAGCGGCAGAGAAGCATGGCAAGGAGGTACCAGCGCTGCTGCGCGAGCCACCAGGGAGAGGAGGTGTCGTTGCCTGCTGCTCCGTAGAAGGCGGTGACGATGGGGTCGAAGACCCAGGCCATCTCGAGGTAGGAGAGGAGGATGACGATGTCAGTGAAGGAGAAGCGCAAGGATGAGTCTGTCCCCGCGTCCATGTAGCCTGAGATGGTTGCAAAACCAGCGACTGTCTTGTAGTTGCCGATGGAGCGCAGGAACACCTCCAAGGTCAGCATGCTCTCGTTGACTGGCAGCCCCGCACGCGATCGAGGGATGAGGACGCGAGCGACGGCAGCGCAGTAGGAGGACGGCATGCAGGAGGCGAGGTGGTCGATGATGACCCCGTACATGCAGATGGCTCGAACGCCATTGGAGACCTTCAGCTCTGCTCTTGCCGTCTCCTCGTCCTGCTGCAGCGAGCGATATCTCCTGGCAATGCCTAGCGAGTCGATGCCGAGGCGCTGGAGGAGCTTGACGTCAGCCGACTGGAGGAAGGCTTGCAAGTTGGTGAGGTCAGCTGGGAGGGGAAGGGAGGAGGGAGGAGGAGGAGGCTGGAGTGTCTTGTTGTGAGCTCTGTGCTCTCGAAGCATTTCTCCCAGCTTCTTGCGATCAATCTTCCCGCTGGTTGTGGTCGGCAGAGCCTCGAGGCACACGAACAAGGAAGGGATCATGTGCTGGGGGAGGGAGGCGGATAGCCGCTCGACCACCTTCTCCTCCTCCCACGTCTTCCCCCGCAGCACCACAGCAGCGGCCAGAGTGCTGACGCCCTTGTCTTGCAGGAGCACGACGGCAGTCTGGCTGACGTCCTCCTCCTCCGAAATCTTTGACTCGATCTCTCCAATCTCCACTCTCATCCCGCGGATCTTGATCTGATTGTCCATCCTCCCCAGGTACTCGATCTTTCCATCCGGCAGCCAACGGCAGAGGTCGCCTGTCCTGTAGACTCTCCTGCTCTGCTGCCCTGCCCCGCCCTCTCCCAGGAGCTTGCAGTCGGCGAACTTGGAGGAGGTGAGGTCTGGCCTGTTCCAGTAGGAGGAAGCAAGCTGATCTCCTCCGATGCAGAGCTCTCCCGGCACCCCGACAGGCGATAAGCGCATGTGGCGATCGAGGACGAGGGCGACGACGCCGGGCAGGGGACGTCCGATGGAGGTCGCGGAGGAAGGGAACTTGCTGCAGGGGTAGTCCTTGCAGGAGGTGACGACGTTGGTCTCGGTCGGGCCGTACTCGTTGAGCAGAGCTCTTCCCTGCGAGGCCCAGCGATCGCTGAGGGAGGGAGGAAGAGCCTCGCCGGCGAGCACGAGGGTCTTGAGAGACTTGCCGCAGGCAGGAGGAGAGAGGAGCGCGAGGTGGCTAGGGGTGATGAAGAGCACTGAGATGGCGTTGCGGAGAAGGAAGTTCTCGAAGCCGAGCAAGCGAGTGGCGTCGTCGACGATGACGAGGGTAGAGCGGAAGAAGAAGCTCGACCAGATCTCGTTGCCCGCCACGTCGAAGGTCAACATGGTCTGCTGGACGATGCGGTCGGAGGAAGAGAGAGGGCGAGACTGGTTCATGGCGAGGTTCTGAGCAAGAAGAGCTCCCTGAGAGATCTCGACACCCTTGGGCACTCCAGTTGACCCTGAGGTGAAGATGATGGCAGCTGGATCCTCCGGACGAGCCTTGTGTACCCGTCTAGCCTCCTCCATGTTGACCTCCGCGTGGCTCAAGTCCTCGGGCTTGACGACGAGCACCTCGACGCGAGAGGAGACGAGAGTCTGCTTGCTCTTCCTGCTCTCATCGGCAAAGACAGCACTCCACTGCTCCTGCTGCTCGGGAGAGCAGAGGAGGAGACGGCAGTTGGTGTCGGAGAGCATGAAACGAAGGCGGTCGGGAGGGTACGAGATGTCGACTGGCATGTAAGCAGCGCCACATCGGACGACAGAGAGGAGCGAGGCGATGGTTTCTGCGGTCTTCTCCGCTGCGATCGCTATGACGTCTCCTTGCTTCACCCCTGACCTCAACAGCATCTGGGACAACCGCCGGCAGCTACGGTCGAGCTGCTCGTACGACATCTTCACTCCCTCTCTCGGGCACTCGATGGCTGTCCTGCTGCGGCTGGCCTGGACGAAGGCGTCTTCCAGCAGGTCCTGCATCGTCTCCATCCCGAGTCGCTGCTGGCGCTCTCGAGCAGACCAAGCAAAGTCGCTCAGGATTCTCTTTCTCTCATCAGGATCGAGATACTCCATGTCACCGATCGCCATATCCCTCGGGCATCGCACAGCATGGGAGAGGAAGACGCTGACGTGGCAGAGCATATTACCCATCAGCTCAGGCCACATCACGGCATCGTCAGCAGCTCCGAGAAGAACAACTTTCTCCTGCTCCACCCTCAGACTGATGGAGAGATCTGCACATCGCTCCTTCCCGCCGAGAAGCTTGGAAAGGTACAGCAGGTCAGCCTCCCTCTTGTTTTCTTCAGTTGACAGGAGCGCATGAAACACTTGTTCTCTCCTTGCAAACCCTCTCAGCACCTCCACGTCCGCCCACTCCCCGAGCTTGCTCGCGTGCTCATCGTAGAGCTGCTGCATGCTTGCCATGAGACCCGACAGAGATTCGAGCTCGTCAAAGTTGCTCGTCAAAGGAACAAACCTGCTCTTCTCCCTGATCCCGAGGCAGATGGTGTTGGCAAAGTTGCTATACCTTCGGAGGGTTGTTCCGACGGCGATGGACAAGGCGACTTGTTGGTTGACCTTGCAATCCTGGCAGAAGGAGAGGAACTCAGTCCAGCTGCAGCCCAGCTGCTGCTCTTTCGAGAAGAGCTGCCCGGGTCCGTCGACTGAGGGGTTGACAAAGAACAAGTTTTCGAAGTCAAGCGTCAGCCTCGTCTCCCACAGCTTCCTGTCCTCCTCCCCTCGAGCATCACCGGCAGAGCAGGGTGGAGAAATGCTGACGTTGTCATGTGACGAAGAGTCCGAGCTGCTGCAGCTCTCCTTCCCGTCCAGCCTCGTCAGCATGATCATCGACTCGCCCCTGTCACCCTTGCTCGCCTTCTCCTCCTCGTCCGTCTTCTCCTTCTTGACGATGTGGAATCCAGTGTAGGTCTTCCTGTCGCAGAGCCCTCGCATGACCCCGTAGCTCTCCATCAGAGTGTAGACAGGGATCAGGCTGATGTGTGCAAGAAACATGAGTACCCACTCGAGCCTTCCGTGCTTGAACTGGCTGGGATCGAAGCCAAGAACGAAGCCAAGGCTGTAGCTCCAGAAGGGGATGGAGAAGATGAAGGACATGAGGTAGACGAACGTCGAGGACCTCGGGAAGATGGTGAGCAAGTTCAGCCAAGTCACGAAGGTCAGGAGAGGGCAGACGGTCCAGGACACAAGGTGGCTGCCGAGGTAAGCTCGTTGCCAGAGAGGCAGCGAGTCTGTGAGGACGCAGAGCCAGAGGCCTGAGAACCATCTCGCTCGCTGCTTCCCAAAGTCGTTGACGGAGAAAGGGCTTTGCTCGAACATCTTTCCTCCCACCCAGTCAAACCTGACGCCTTGCCCCGCCAGCTTCATCGCAAAGTAAGTGTCCTCAGTGATGCTTCCTACCATCCCCCAGTCCCATCCCACCTGCTGCTCCAGCTTGTTGCAGCAGACCACGAAGGAGCCGTGCATGCCGATGAGGGGAAGGCGGAAGAGCTTGTACTGCAGTCTGAACTTGGCGTAGTCGTCAGCGACTCGGATGGTATCAGCAAGAGCAGTCAGGTAGTTCTCTATACCCCCCTTGTTGTAGTAGATGACCCCCTGCCCAATGCTCGGGAACGAAGTCTTTCCGGATGCCAACAAGATCTCCTGCTGCATGCAGTGCGCAAAGATATGCCGCACTGTCTCTTCCTCGAACCTCGTCTCCTCGTCCAGGTGGACTATCCAGTCGTGAGCTCGAGCTCTGCTGGCAGCGGCTGCATAGTTGAGGGCTCTAGCCTTGTACTTGCAGCCACCAGGAGGGTTGTAGTCACTAGGAACGACGAGCTGGTCAACCGAGGGTGCTTCCGAGAGGTCGATCTTGTTGTCCGTGACCACCTCCACCTTCCACCGGCTAGCCGCCAGCCCACTGCGCTCGAGTACGGCGATGGCCGTTTTGCAGTTTGCGAGGACGAGCTTCGGGTTGTTGCCTCGGGTGACAATGCGGAAGAAGAGGATAAAGGGAGCGCGAGAGCTGAGAACGGCCGGCCTCTCGTTCTTCTCCTTCTCCAGCTGATCTTCAATGGGAGGCGCATGGTCAGGGATGACAGCAGGGTAGAAGAGGAGGCCGGCAAGACCCTGGAGAAGAGCAGGAGCAGGGAGAAGGAGAATCCAGGAAATGCCGCACAGAGCGTCTGCAGCTGCTCCGCTGAATTGAACGAGATTGACCCACGGGTTCACCAGCTGAGCTAGACAGAAGGTGGCTACGATAATGAAGAAGCTGAGGTAGTAGTAGAAGAGTTTGCTTTCTGTTGTAATCTCCTCCTCCTCCTCCTGAGCTTTCGTTGTCGACATTTGGTAGAAGAGGCGACGGAGGTTGTCGGCAAAATTTCTTGACAAGAAGTAGTTGACAGCTGCGATGGTGAGGAGCGAGAGGGGGTAGCACAGCCAAACTACATCGTTCACTTGGTGACTCACTCTGGTCACAATCGTCCACATCATAGAGTCCATGAGCAACGCACTGATGAGCACCCCCGATAGATGAGGATGTAAGATTGCAGCTACATGATGCAAAGAGTTGGGCAGGACGGCAGAAGATGCCTTGTAGAACAACAGGAAGACGAGTGCCTGCAGAGGAAGCAGAAGACCCGTGTTCAACCAGGCGATCATGTACGAGAAATTGCCAAAAGCTGTTTGATAGAACGCAAGCACAACCAAGCAGCCAGCGAGCGAGAGCAGACCGAGGCAAGTGCTCAACGTCCATGACACCCTGCTGGGGTCGACGGTTGCGAGTGCCACACCGAAGAAGAAGGCGGGAGAGAAGGCGCGAAGGAAGACGGCAGCGATGAGGCGATCGAGGAGGAAGACGCGGAGGCCGATGAAGTCGATGGCCTGCCAGGCTGACAGGACCCACATGACTAACATCATCGTCAACTTAGACCGCAAGCTCGTCACCCTCGTCTGCAGAAAGTCGAAGACGGGGAGGAAGATGAGTGCGTTGAACCCCAGTGCCCCCTGGAGCCAGGCGAGGCCGTTGACGTCGTTGAACCAGAGTGAAGGCATCCATGCGCTGAGCCCCAGGGGGAGGAGAAAGAACTCGCCCCAGAGCTCGGAGCCGAGCATGATGAAGCTGACGATGCATGCAAGAAGAAGAGAAGGAAACGAAGACGCAAACTTCATCCCGAGAAACTTGAGAGCTGTCATCTTTTCTGCGTTTCCAAAGGCAGAATGAATCCTCGTGATCTCAAACCCCCAGATCAAGAAGAGAAGAGAGAAGCTGCTTCGACCCGCGTCTATCATGACTTCTGTGACTCGATGCTGCTCTAGACTTGTTCTTCGTTGGAACAACAGTATCAACACGACGCAAGCAATTTGAAACAAGACAGACGCTGAAGCAAGCTTCGCGTTCCTCTCGTTGTCCGACAACCTCGCAAGGTGATACGGCTGAGCTTCATCTTCTTCTTTTTGCGAACGAACGAGAAATCCAAGAATACGTGCAATGACCTGATATACAACTTTCGAGTAGATGATGACAACAATGCCAGTGAAGCAGCACGACACAGTCAGGAACACGAGGTAAGCATCTTTGAACTGTTGCGTGCTGTCTTGCTGCAGGATCCACAACCCCAATCGGCTGCTATCCTCAACCCTGGGAGCGACTTGTGCCGCAGTAGCAGAGCAAAATGGATCCGCAGATCCGGTTGCATTGAAGACAATCACCAGAGAAGCAGAGCAGGAGGAGCAGATGTCGTAGTAACTGCACGCTTGGAAGCATACGAGCCATTCGTTGCCCGTCCACGACATCATCGTTCGAACCGTATTGTCATCGAGAAAATTCATTGCAGAAATCTTCTCGACGACATCATCGCTTGCATCTGCTTGAATGCGAAACCAGTCGTCTTCCTTGCCATTGTTGGGACTCAGCCATATCTCGTATCTCTTTGCCCCTGTGCTGCCGATGAAGGTGTAGCAGGGAGGGAACGAGTTTGAGACTTGGACGATGGTAGGAGGGCACGGGACATACGAATCATCAGGCTGAGGCACTCCTATGAGCTCCCCGGTCGTGAGGATCTGAGAGAAGATCTCTTTCTCGTACGACGGCGTCGAGTTAGAGAAACCTGGCCAATTGAGGGAGCGCGGGTAGACCGTTTGACCTGAAGAGGCATTGACGAGGCTCTCATAGTGCCAGTAGAACCCCCCAGACCGATGATGGCTGCGCAAACTCCAATAGAAAGCTCCGCTCACGTCGCTGTTGCCCTGGATAAGGCCGAAGACACCTTGCACGGTAGTTAATTCAGAGTTCCCCGACGTGCCGAACTCCTTGATAAGGAACGCTTTCTTGCCCCCGTTGAAGTCAAGATCGGACTGCAGCTGGTCTGTTGTGCTGTAGTAGTACGTTGCGCCGATGACGTTCAAGTCCGGAAGGTCGAGAATCGCCGAATCCTTGGGAAACCCGCCATCGATGATGAGATGGTCGGCGTCCATGGACCGCAGCCACCTGGAGGTCTCGTTGGTCCAACTGACCGGAACACCGGGAAAGTCTGAGAGCTGCTTGTTCCTGACACAGTTGACCAGGTCGCTACACGTCGGAGTGAAGAGCTCGTTGCCTGTGCCCACAACGGTAAGTAAGGGAAAGGATCCGCAGTGCAAAACAAGGTTACCGAGCTCCCATCCGAAGATCGCCGGGTCGTCTCGGTAGAGGATGCCGGTCCTCGTATTCTTCCTCGTCACGACTGTCTGCACCACATACCGGTACATCTCTTGCACTGTCGCATCATCGAAAAAGTTCCGAGGATCAACTTTAGCCCAGGAGCACAGGGTTGCCGCCCCTCCCCAGGACTCTAGCTGCGCCATGTTCATGAAAGGGATCTGTAGCCTGACCCCAAGCGAGTTTGCAATCTCTAGTGCTGCGTCCAGGCGCTCAAAAAACGCTTCGCTGTGATCAAGCCTTGACGTAGTGACGTTCCAATAAAAATGGCAGCGGGAGGAGTCGTTGCAGAAAGAGAACACGTACAGCCTTGCAACCCTTCCTCCCAGTTGCTGTACCGAGCAGAGGGCGTCCCAGATCTCTCCGTCAGTAGGAAGCCCAATGGAAGATGAGTTCGACGAGCTTGTTTCCAGTCTAATCAAGTTTGGAACAGCAACGCTTACAAACCTGAACACGTTCGTCTCTGTCCCATTGATTTCCACCAGGTGAGCTGCAATTGAATCATTTGCACTCGCGAACTTTACAAACCCGGAGAGGGGTTTGGCCGTGCATGCGGAGGAGCATGCAGATAGCTCTGCAACATTCTGAGCCTGTATGGCAGAGAACTCCAGGATGAGGCAGGTTAAAAACAATGAGCTTCGCACATTGCGTGCTCGGAGAGTGAAACGTAGGTTCATGTTGAAGGAGAGGCGGTTGACGAAGGAAAGGAGAGAGGAGAGGGAGAGAGGAGAGAACAGGAGTAGAGGGTGACAGAGGAGAGGGGGGAGAGGAGAGGGATGAGAACAGGAGTAGAGGGCGAGAGAGGATGGCAGGAGAGAAGAGGGATGCTGAGGATAGGGGAGAGGGAGCGCGTGATTCAAGGTGAGATATGCTGCCCCTGTTGCCTTGAGGAACAAAGAACCCCTTTGTCTGAAAAGGAGTCTTTTCGTTGATTCTGATGGCAACAGAGGGAACAGGAGCGTGTCTCATGGCGCGAAGGGACAGATTTAAAGAAGGCAGCAAAGTATGAGCTATCCAGTCCATTTTCTGCCCTGTGAAATAAGTCCTGAGGCAGGTTTGTGCCGTCTACGCCTCTCTCAGATGAGCCGGGGAGCACCGTAGTTTACTACCGTACCGTACTGTACCCAACAGTACCGTATGTGACGACGGTGACCGGGTCCCGATGACCGATCCACCACTGAGGTGACTTCCGCCGGCATATGATGATACACTATTGAGCATCTATATTTGGAGGCGGGGCCGCCGCCGGAGCCTCGGAGGCCCGGGGCCGGCGGCCGGAAGCCTGGCCGGGCTGTGCCCACCCGGGGGCGGGGGAGGGGCAATGATCATCAATTTCCATCATCAATCATTGAATTGGAAATTGATGATTGCCCGCGGGGGAGTCCCGGACCGTACTCCGGGAGCCGCCGCTGTCACCACCGTGACCGTGACCACAGCGAGCCTCGGAGCCTCGGAGGTCGCTGGCATGGCAGTGGCGGCGCCGGCGCGGCCGGGCCCGGGAGCCTCGGAGAATTGTCCTGCCTGTGCGCAGTTAAGTGAAGGTACTGATTTTTAACTTAACTTTGCCAGCCTGAAAAAGGACCAGGAGGCTACCCTCACTGGCAGGCTGGCGGTTATCCGGGATCGGACCGGGACTGGAAGTCACTGCGCCTGAGTGACCGGCTCACGGCCACGCCACTGTTCAGCTGCTCCCGCTGATCCGGCGCCCGGACTCCGGACTCGCGGCCGCGCCCGCCGCGCCGGACTCGGGGCCCCGGCGGCGGGCCGGCGGCGGCGGCCCCCGGGGGGCGGTGCCACCGTGATCCGAACCCGGTGACCGCCCGGCCGCCCGGCGGGGGCCTGATCACAGAGTCATGTCACGGTGGGCGAGTCGACCCGGTGACCGGACCGGACTCCGGACGGGCGGGCCCCGGCGGGCCCGGCCGACCGTACTGTCCGATCAGTGGCCCGGGACTCACGAGTCGCCGCCGGGGCCGCCGCTGCGGCTTTGGCACCCGATTCACAGAGTCAATCGGAAGCAGTGGGTCATAGCGACGCAAAGTGGGTCCTCGAGATGTTGCGGAATTTATCAAATGAAGCAAAACTGATACAAAGGAATAGTTCGGTACTGAAGAAATCCACCTGTGTTTGATAGCGTTTGAAATGAAATCTTCTGACCTGGCTCATTTTCAATCCTTCAAACAAACAAAAAGTCTAGGGTTGTCGCCGTATACATATTCTCGCGCTCAATCATCCAATGACAGAGATACCAAAGACGACCATCATCCCATCGTACAAACGTGCATGCCTCCGCGAGAAGATACAGCAGCCACCACGTCTTCTACGCAGTGAAGGCCGGACATGCAAATGGTTTGGCAGTTCAAGTTTATTAGCTCATTTCATACCTAGTCATGCACAGTTACCAATCGCCCTTCTTGCTCTCCCTCAGGAAGTATTTCTGCGCATGCGACCTGATCTGCGCTACAGTCCTCGTCGGCACCGCTGTTGCTATAAGCTCGGCCACTCCTGCTCCAAGTCCCACGAACACCTTCCCATTCGCCCCGCTCCTTGTCTCCATGGGACAGTGTGCCTCTACCGCTGCCACGAAGCTCGCGTGCTCCTCCTTCGTCCACTGCGTCCGGCTGGTCTTGGGCTTGTAGCTTCGCTTCGCCTTGACTTTCTTCTCCGGCTCAGGATTTCCCGCTTCTCCCCACTCCGCATCGGACAAGCTTGCAGTTGCAGCGCTGCTCAGGGAGGTGTTGGAGTTGGACCTTTCCAGCGTTGCCTCCGCCCAGCGCCTGCTCCTCGCGACATCGGCCTCGTTCGCGTCCGAAAAGTTGCAGTGGGCATGCGGAATGGGGTTCTCAGCGATCCACGAGTGCATGAGGTCGAGAGGGTCGGAAGTGACAGGAGAGTAGTAGAGGTCCTGAGGGTAGAGGCTGGCGATGGCGTCCTCTAGGCTGATCTGATCGCAGGCGTGGCAGCTCATGCTGGGGGTGTGGGCTGTGCGGCTGGAGATGCCCTCTACGGGTTGAAAAGTTGCGCTGCACTGGGGGAATCCACCGTAAAGAAGGGGCAGGGAAAGCCAGGTCGATCACAGGGGTCAAGCAGGGGAGACACAGGGGTGGGGGTAGTGAGAGCACGTCGGGCAGGTGCTGCGGAAGATGGAAGGGAGGCGGTTTCAAGGTGGTAGCCATGGACAACTCAAATACGCAACTGTTGCCCTGTTGACATTGGTTGAAACTATATGTTTTCGAAAACAAAAAAAAAGATGGTTTCGGCAACGAAACAGATTGTTTTCAAGCTGCATGGCGCCAGGTCATGTTTTGCCTTTCTTGCGCACCCATATAAATGGTACCACTTGTATGGGGTACTCATCTACCTCGTGTCCCTGTCTCTTTTAAGCCCGAGATTGCCTTTTAGTAGTAGTTTTTGTGCCTCGGATGATCGGACAATGCCCTATTAAACCTTTGCTGCCTTTCATGTGATAGGTACGGAGAAGGACAATGTCAGGACAGGTCTCCTTCTTTTTGTCTTGAGTCCATCCACTCATGCAGTCAGCAATGCGCAGGAGTAAAGCAAATGACTGTTTTGCTAAAACTGGTTTTAGAGCTCTTGTCCCGCTTCTGTTGCTCAATATGTAGTAAAATCGGAGCATCGGACTCTGACAATGTTCCGAAACAGGCAGAACCAAAAACAGTCTTTTAAAATCAACGGTCGGCCAACTATCTTTGAGTAATGCCTGTCGGCCGGAGCGGAGCGGCTGAGAGGGCCCGCCGGCTGCTCAAGCCGCAACAAAGAGCAGGGCAAGGAGGGCAAGAGCACCCCAGAAAATGGGGGATTTCCGCCCGGAAAGTGAACACAGGGAGCAGAGCATGCAGGATAGGCGCGAGCGAGAGGAGGGAAGTATCTGTTTGTAGAAAAGACCTAGATATACATTCATATGTTGCGATCAGGAGCGAGACATCCACACGTGTAATGCGATAATGCACAAATCCATGCAAGCACACAGGTGTATCGCTGCAATGTTCGGACGATGTGGACGATGATAGTGGCAACGAAACGAGTGACTCCGATGACGGCAAGAATATGAAAGGATACAGCAGCCCATGGAAGAACTTTTACTTCGAGCAATGTCAGGAATTCATAGCGATGGCAAAATAATTGGGATGGGTTTAGAACCGAATTTAAATGAAATCATTCAGGCATACGTGAAACATGTAAAAGAGAAAAAAGACCAGTGGAGATGAATTGGCAAACACTTGTTGACAGTGCAAGGATACCTGGAACACGGAGTTCTTCAAGCAGTTCATCACATGCACATCCAGGTGGAAGAATCGAGAGCAGCATGAATAATGAACAACATGTCTTTCAGGTCAAGCTGCAGCCATGCACATGAGAATGTTGTCGCAGGATAGAAAGTTCATGATGTTCTGCATTTGCAGCAAATCGGTTTGGATATTGATCATTTGAAACTCAGTAAGAAAGATCATGCAGGGCCCGATGTTTTGGAAGCGAACAAAACATGTGCTTGATGGTTAAAGCCAGCTGCAAACATGCCCGATTCTGGCTCTGGCATTCAACAGCATGATACAACCACAAGGATACGATTGAGAAGCAATTCCTTCCTCGGAAGCGATCGGAGACTATGGTTTGGACAACTACTGCAAAGGAGAATATCGTGGATGTGTGGTGTGCAATGGATGGATATCGGTACAATTTCCGTCGGACTGACAATGAACATAACTTGCACCTCATTGTTGGAGCGCATAGTTTCTTGAATGACAGTGTGACACATCTCATTTCAATTCCAAAGGGCCCAAGTGCCCGTTAGATTAGCAGGCAAACTATACGGAATCGGATGACCTTTACTTGATTCTGTGTTATTTCAACAAGCAAGGCCTTGAGAGTATCGAGGGCAATAGTTCCAACGATTTTACTCATGATAAGGATACTTTTTCTTTCAAACGGTTTTCAAAGAAATGTTACATTCTTCATTGCAAATGTGGTTCATCAATATACATAGACTTGAGAAGTGGAATGGCAGTAATCGCATATTAAGGGGAGCACTGAACTGTTCTGTATCAAGGGAACGCAATCGAGGTTTATTTTTGAGATCCTTGCGCAAGCATGAAGAGACTGTGAGGAAGCGATGTGAGGAATGCGACATAACATATACAGGGATGCCTCCTTGCATGAGTCTCATGGCCGAGACTAGGATTCTGAGAGAACAAACAGACACGCTGCGAGAAGAGTTGAAGGTTGGCATGACAAGAAGGTTGACTGAAGAAGCGAGATTCATAGTACAGATCTACCTGAAGATTCTCGGACACGTCATACGAAAAGTCTTCCAAGTCAATTTGTGTGATTGATGCATGCAACAAGAAAATCGAGAAAAAACAGACTGGATACTTGTCGTTGTTACCTATACACGATTGTCATACATTATTACTAGAACAAGAAGTCCAGGGTAAGAGATGCGACACAGACGTGGCTGCTTTCATCATTCTAGCAAATACACGCAATCACATCAGATGCTCTACCACCAATGAATTTCAATCAAGTTCGTCGACAGGCAAGCTCAACACTGAGAATCGACACGAACCCAATGGCCAGAAGCTCGCACATGATGAACGCGACCAGGTGTTGATATCATTTGACCCGACACCCTCTTGTTGTATCTCTGAGGAAAGAACCTTGAGGCAAGCCTCGGTAAAAAAGTGCATGCCTCCGCGAGAAGAAACAGCAGCCACCTCGTATTCTACGCAGGACATACAAACGGTTTGGCAGTTCAAGTTTTATTAGCTCATTTCATACCTAGTCATGCACAGTTACCAGTCGCCCTTCTTGCTCTCCCTCAGGAAGTATTTCTGCGCATGCGACCTGATCTGCGCTACAGTCCTCGTCGGCACCGCTGTTGCTATAAGCTCGGCCACTCCTGCTCCAAGTCCCACGAACACCTTCCCATTCGCCCCGCTCCTTGTCTCCATGGGACAGTGTGCCTCTACCGCTGCCACGAAGCTCGCGTGCTCCTCCTTCGTCCACTGCGTCCTGCTGGTCTTGGGCTTGTAGCTTCGCTTCGCCTTGACTTTCTTCTCCGGCTCAGCATTTCCCGCTTCTCCCCACTCCGCATCGGACAAGCTTGCTGTTGCAGCGCTGCTCAGGGAGGTGTTGGAGTTGGACCTTTCCAGCGTTGCCTCCGCCCAGCGCCTGCTCCTCGCGACATCGGTCTCGTTCGCGTCCGACAAGTCGCAGTGGGCATGCGGAATGGGGTTCTCAGCGATCCACGAGTGCATGAGGTCGAGAGGGTCGGAAGTGACAGGAGAGTAGTAGAGGTCCTGAGGGTAGAGGCTGGCGATGGCGTCCTCTAGGCTGATCTGATCGCAGGCGTGGCAGCTCATGCTGGGGGTGTGGGCTGTGTGGCTGGATGTGCCCTCTTCTGGGTTTTAAGCTGCGCCACTGGGGGTATCCACCGTAAAGAAGGGGCAGGGAGGAAGGGATGCGTTTTCAAGGGTTGACATGAGTGGATAGTTTGTGACCGATATGATGTTCATGATAGAGAGAGTTTTCGTGAATTTAAAAGCATTGTTTCGGGAATTCAACAGTATTGTTTCGGGATCGAAACAGATTGTTTTCAAGCTGCATGGCGCCAGGTCATGTTCTGACCTTCATGCGCACCCATAAATGGTACCACTTGTATGGGGCACTCATCTACCTCGTGTCCCTGTCTCTTTAAAGCCCGAGATTGCCTTTTAAAAGTAGTTTTTTTGCTTCGGATGCAGCCGACGGCAAGCCCCGCAAGCCTTTCCTCTGCCCTCGCACTTCCATTAGACAATGTCCTATTTCACTCGAGTAAACCTTTGCTGCCTTGCGTGTGATAGTCTCGGTGAAGGACAAGGTCAGGACAAGTTTCCTTCCTTTTCTCTTGATTTCCATCCAATCAAGGAATCAGAAATGTGCAGGAGCAAAAGACTGTTTTGCTAAAACTGGTTTTCTTGCCCGGCTTCCGATGCTCAATATGTAGTAAAATCGGAGCTTCGGACGCTGACCTGTGCCGAAACAGGCAGAACCAACAACGGTCTTAACTAACGGTCGGCCAACTAACTTTGAGTAAAAAACGATCCGATCGCTGCCTGTCGGCCGGAACGGGCTCAGAGGGCCCGCCGGGTGCTCAAATCTTTTACTCGAAGTTAAGTTAAATGTCAGTACGAGGACAAACAGAAGTCAGGCCCGCCCGCAGGAGCAGGGCAAGCAGGGCAAGAGCACCCAAACAAAAAATGGGGGATTTGCGCCCGGAACATGGGGCACAGCATGCAGGATAGGCGCGAGCGAGAGGAGGGAAGTGTCTGCATGACACGACAGACCTAGATATTCATGCGTATGTTGCGATGAGGAACGCGATATCCACACGTGTAATGCGATAATGAACAAATCCATGAAAGCACACAGCAGGTGTATCGCTGCAATGTTCGGACGATGTGGGCGATGATAGTAGTAGCGACGCGAGCGACTCCGGTGACGGCACGAATTTGAGAGAGGACGCTTCGGGTTCTGACAAGGTAAAACACACGATGTCGAGAGTTGGCGCACTGCAAGGATACAGCAGCCCATGGAAGAACTTTTACTTCGAGCAATGTCAAGAATTCACAGCGATGGCAAAATAATTGGGATGGGTTTAGAACCGAATTTAAATGAAATCATTCAGGCATACGTGAAACATGTAAAAGAGAAAAAAGACCAGTGGAGATGAATTGGCAAACACTTGTTGACAGTGCAAGGATACCTGGAACACGGAGTTCTTCAAGCAGTTCATCGCATGCACATCCAAGTGGAAGAATCGAGAGCAGCATGAGTACTGAACAACATGTCTTTCAGGTCAAGCTGCAGCCATGCACATATGAGACTGTTGTCGCAGGATAGAAAGTTCACGATGCTCTGCATTTGCAGCATTTCGATTTGAATATTGATCATTTTAAACTCACCTTATTGTGAGGTAAGAAAGATCATGCAGGGCTCGATGCCAAAAGGGTTTGGAAGCAATCAAGACATGAGCTTGATGCTTAAAGCCACCTGCAAACATGCCCGCTACTGGCTCTTGCATTCAACAGCATGATACAACCACAAGAATACGATTGAGAAGCAATTCCTTCCTGGGAAGCGATCGGAGACTATGGTTTGGACAACTACTGCAAAGGAGGATGTCGTGGATGTGTGGTGTGCAATGGATGGATATCGGTACATTTTCCGTCGGACTGACAATGAACATAACTTGCACCTCATTGTTGGAGCGCATAGTTTCTTGAATGACAGTGTGACACATCTCATTTCAATTCCAAAGGGCCCAAGTGCCCGATAGATTAGCAGGCAAACTATACGGAATCGGATGACCTTTACTTGATTCTGTGTTACTTCAACAAGCAAGGCCTTGAGAGTATCGAGGGCAATAGTTCCAACGATTTTACTCATGATAAGGATACTTTTTCTTTCAAACGGTTTTCAAAGATATGTTACATTCTTCATTGCAAATGTGGTTCATCAATATACATAGACTTGAGAAGTGGAATGGCAGTAATCGCGTATTAAGGGGAGCACTGAACTGTTCTGTATCAAGGGAACGCAATCGAGGTTTATTTTTGAGATCCTTGCGCAAGCATGAAGAGACTGTGAGGAAGCGATGTGAGGAATGCGACATAACATATTCTGGGATTCCTCCTTGCATGAGTCTCATGGCCGAGACTAGGATTCTGAGAGAACAAACAGACACGCTGCGAGAAGAGTTGAAGGTTGGCATGACAAGAAGGTTGACTGATCTACCTGAAGATTCTCGGACACGTCATACGAAAAGTCTTCCAAGCCAATTTGTGTGATTGATGCATGCAACAAGAAAATCGCGAAGAAACAGACTGGATACTTGTCATTGTTACCTATACATTGTTACCTATTGTCATACATTATTACTAGAACAAGAAGTCCAGGGTAAGAGATGCGACACAGACGTGGCTGCTTTCATCATTCTAGCAAATACACGCAATCACATCAGATGCTCTACCACCAATGAATTTCAATCAAGTTCGTCGACAGGCAAGCTCGACACTGAGAATCGACACGAACCCAATGGCCCAGCTAGAGCTCGCACATGCTGAACGCGACCAGGTGTTGATATCACTGGACCCGACATGCTCTTGTTGTATCTCTGAGGAAAGAACCTTGAGGCAAGCCTCGGTAAAAAAGTACATGCCTCCGCGAGAAGAAACAGCAGCCACCTCGTATTCTACGCAGGACATACAAACGGTTTGGCAGTTCAAGTTTATTAGCTCATTTCATACCTAGTCATGCACAGTTACCAATCGCCCTTCTTGCTCTCCCTCAGGAAGTATTTCTGCGCATGCGACCTGATCTGCGATACAGTCCTCGTCGGCACCGCTGTTGCTATAAGCTCGGCCACTCCTGCTCCAAGTCCCACGAACACCTTCCCATTCGCCCCGCTCCTTGTCTCCATGGGACAGTGTGCCTCTACCGCTGCCACGAAGCTCGCGTGCTCCTCCTTCGTCCACTGCGTCCTGCTGGTCTTGGGCTTGTAGCTTCGCTTCGCCTTGACTTTCTTCTCCGGCTCAGCATTTCCCGCTTCTCCCCACTCCGCATCGGACAAGCTTGCTGTTGCAGCGCTGCTCAGGGAGGTGTTGGAGTTGGACCTTTCCAGCGTTGCCTCCGCCCAGCGCCTGCTCCTCGCGACATCGGCCTCGTTCGCGTCCGACAAGTCGCAGTGGGCATGCGGAATGGGGTTCTCAGCGATCCACGAGTGCATGAGGTCGAGAGGGTCAGCAGTGACAGGAGAGTAGTAGAGGTCCTGAGGGTAGAGGCTGGCGATGGCGTCCTCTAGGCTAATCTGATCGCAGGCGTGGCAGCTCATGCTGGGGGTGTGGGCTGTGCGGCTGGAGATGCCCTCTACGGGTTTAAGTTGCGCTGCACTGGGGGAATCCACCGTAAAGAAAGGGCAGGGAAAGCCAGGTCGATCACAGGGGTCAAGCAGGGGAGACACAGGGGTAGGGGTAGTATGAGCACGTCGGGCAGCCAATGTGACAGGGGCTGCGGAAGATGGAAGGGAGGCGGTTTCAAGGGTTGACGGGGGTTGGTAGCTGAAATACGCAACTGTTGCCTTGCGTCTTCTCTCCTGGTCGATGATAGTCTGTGATTGAAATGCTCATGCTGACAATAGAATCATCTAGACTATTTCAAAGTTAGAGATTTCTGGTCTGTACCGTGGTATCCGGGCATCTTCTCCCGATGCCGAGTTGAAATGAAATACTTTCGATCTATCACTGCCAACAAAAAGAAATTGTTTCGGGATCGAAACAACGCTTTTTCAAACTGCATGGCGCCCGAAGTTGCCTACAGAAATAGTTTTTGACTGCGGATGCAGTTCTCTCCGAACCGAACAAAACTCACTAAAACAATTTTTAGAGCTCTAAAACCTGTTTTAGAGCTCTTGTCCCGCTTCCGGATCTCATCGGAGTAAACCGCTGATTCGGAGCCTCGGATGCTGAACATCCTGTGCCGAAACAGGCAGAACGGTAGCAGTTTTTAAGTTTTATTTTTATTATTATATGAGGTTAACAAAAATGCGTGATCTCATTGCCCTCTGACACAAGCATCATCGTCCTCATACCCAGCCTCATACCCCTCATCATCACCCTCATGAAATTCCAGTAAAAAAAACCTGGTGGTAGTGGCAGGTAGTTTTCTGTTCCATAGCAAAAGTAACTTAACTTTGAGTAAAGCAAAAGGGGTTCCCGTAGCAACAGGGGCTCCTGCCCTTCGGACTTTACTCAAAGTTAAGTTAAAAAATCGGTAGAGAAGGACCAAAGCAGAAAAGACAGTCAGAGCAAACTCTTTGTACGGCCCACTTCTGTCCCCAAATATTGACTGATATCTTCACTTAACTGCGCGAAGGAATTCCCCCGCGCCATGCCAGCGATGTCGCTGTGGCCGCCGCTGAAGTAGCGAGACGCATACGGAAACGTACCCGGGATGATGGCAGCGAAGGACAGGGATGTCTTGAGCTGACGAAAGATCCTGTACCACATGCGTTTACAGGTAGGTCGAGAGACAACCCAGCGCTGCCGTTTCTTGTTCGCCGAGTGATCCGCCAGCCACCACAGAAAGCGCAACGCATCATCCTGCAAGAGCCCATCAGTGATGGCGATGATGGGAAGAAAGGACTTTGGCGGGATGTGCTGAGCATATGCATTACGATGCCCTCGGATCTTCCTCTGTGCTGCTGCTTGCAGTTTGCTCCGAGTCAAGTGTGGTATCCCATCATTGTCAAAAACATGTCACACGCTGAAGTCCAGGATCCGCTTGGTGTGGTCGGCGAATGTGAAATCCGGCGCCAATATTGACCCGCTGGAAGAGTGGCTGCTGTGTAGGTAACATCCAATGCTGGAAGATGGCAGTTTCCCCGGCTCATTGGAGAAACTTGGCAATCGCTACAATGCTGTGTAGGCCACAGGGTCCGACGGGTTTCAGGTTGGAAAAACCCTACTGTGCCGGTTGAACGTTTGCTGTGGCTGGCACTGAAACACCTTCAAGAGACGCAAGAAGTCGGAGATTCGCAACGTCAAAGCACTTGCCCACGGCTCAATCCCTACTGCAATTTCCTGTGTTCTGCAGTATTTGGGCTAACCTTTCTGAGCGCCAGCAATCTTTGTTGGCGCACCACTCCAGCTTCTCTACTCCATCTCGAGTATCAGGCCACCCGGTTAATGAACTTCTGTCTCAGTTTACCCCTCAGCGCAGGATCTGGCACTCAATTATGGAAAGTACAAACTTGGGAACTTTGAGCAGCAGATGCTGAAAATGTTGCCCCATGCTGGCTGCATTCTTGGACACTCACAGGCACTTGATGGAACAGGGAATCATGGCGTAAACCTCCTTGGCGGAGCTTCATTGAGTTTGTGAAGCTACTGGAGAGTAGAAACTCTTCGCGTAGCTCTTCTCACTCGGAGGAATTGTTTGACCATCGAAAATTCATTTCCAAATGATATTCTCATTCACATATTTTGAGGCGATGGTGAATCGCCATCTACTGAGTTTGAATAACATGCTTGGATCAATCTTTCAAGACTGACTGCATGTAATGCCAAATGAGTTACAAACACACGAACAGTACTAGAAATGTCTGCATCTGTCAACTCTATGAGACTCGACTAGCTCGAACCACGCACTGACACATACTTGTCGTCCAGCTGCGCATCGAATAAATGCGCTTTTTCTTTACACCTTTCCATCTTTGTCTTTCAACCTGGACCGGGATCTAGTCCTGAACACATCGACTAACTTATCTTCTCCATTATAGTTTTTTTTTAGCTTGAGATAATCTTGCGGAGACATTCTGCTCAATATATGCACCTTGCTGTGTAGCCGTCCACAGAGCTATGGTACAGATCAGCCTGGGGACAGCAGCAGGATTATCATGGGCATTCACATTCATGTTGCGGTGTGTGTTTGGGTAATAGACGGGTAACGTGAAAGGACAGCGTTGAAATAGACCCGAAATTGAGTGGAGCAGACACTCTCGAGTTTAGTTCGGACAGTCAGCAGATGAATCGGCCCTTGAAATTCATGTTTTCACACAATGAGCCGAATCACACTTTAGTTTGTATACAAGCTACTCAACAATCTTGGTTCCATACTTTTCACGCAATTTCGAAGCGCTATACTGAGTACACAAATATTGTCAGTGTAGGAAAATATTCAGCTCGATTTCTTACCTTCGATTCCTTGTTTTGATGGTGTTTCGCAACGATTGACTCCGCTTCTCCGTCACCCTCAAAATATCCTCCAGAGAGCTCGAGTTGCGACGTGTCCTCAGAGAATGTAGGTCCATAACAATCGCCAAGCTTTGCGGTCTTCATTAGCCTTGTTCCACTCTCAAACACATTCTCTTCCCAGGGTACGTGCTTCTCAGGTTTGATTTTTGGGGAGTAAAATCCACCGTACATATCAGCCATGCTGGCTGTATCTTCTTCATTGTTCTTCAAGGTGGCAATGCGGTTCATGATTGATTTCTTGGCTCTTGCCAACCTGCGCGACCCCAAGAGCCTGTCTTCTTCAAGCAGGTGTGCTGCACTTGCCATGGAGGGTCCTTGGGTGATGCCAACAAGGATTTCCTCTAACGAGATGTAAGCTTTCTTGAATGCTGTAACCAATGGGTTATCATTGTTCTGAACCGAGCTCATGGACACTGCACAAACACGCTTTCCACCATTGCGAAGAGTGGGTGATACGAACTTGCTTGGGGGCGCGCAGAAAGTGAGGCTCTCCAGAAGGAAGAATTCCTCAGGAGGCAAGTTTTCCGAAGGTGGGGCCGGCGGGGTTGGCGGGGTTGTTGTCACTGGTGGTTTCACGCATTGGACGGCAGAGACGAGCAAAGTGGTAAGCAGTAATGCTGCCAGGAAAACAGCTTTTCCGGTCATGTTGTGCAAGCTGTAAGATAGATGGAATTGCAGTGTACGAACTCTCTTGTCAGTCGAGTTTTGCCAAGATTTTCTTGTTGCTTGAAGAGTTAACCCAACACGTTTAAACACAGATCAGCAGAGATCAGAACAACAGCTCCTCTTTTTATAACAACCCAACCTGATTTCTCTTTCGGTATACTACTACCCCTGTGTCATTACTAGTTGTCCAAAAGGACCGGTACTTTTCCTATTGCAAATGCTACAAATGACTGGTACTCCTTAGATACCACCGGTTCGTTGTCCAGCCCCCATTGTAATTGGTCGGGGTTCATAGCCTACCAGGGTAGGGTCGCCTACATTGTATGGTTGATTTCAATACTTATTTCTAAAATGAAGCGCATGGTGCAATGTTGATCATTTTCAATTATTGCTCTATCATATAAAGCACCAGACTATGGCATACTACCATGAATATTGAAAATCATTTCGGGGTATTATCCAAAAAGTCTGGTCAGCATCTCAAGGTGGGCGGAGAGAGGGTTGCAACTGCCTGTGAGGGGCGTATTGAGTTGCGAAGATGGGGTAGGTTCTCATGTGAACCCTACCCCACAGTACATCTGGTCGACAATGTAGTATGGTAGGGTACAGAGTAGACGCTAATTTGGTAGGGTGGTCTGAATGCGGTATGAGCCCCTCACGGGGGGTCGCATCGTAAGCGGAGGCCGCCTTGTGACAACACCCCCTTTTCTACCCTATCACACCACCACCCCTTTCTGACCCCCTACCCACCCTTTGGGAAGTTTCATATGAAGGACCCGGTCCTACATACGCAACCTCCTCCAAACTTGACTACCCCCTTGGAAGCCCATACGTGACATATCCGTTATTCTTCGGTTTCTGCTTTCGAACCGCTTGTGAGAGAAACAAAACGGAACGTGCAGGACGAAACGGAGTGTAACGAGCAGGATTTTGCTGGAATGGTGGTGACTCGGGTCAAGGTCAGGACGGTGACGTCGTTGATGTGCTTGACCAGAGAGGTCATGCGCGACGACGGGGAGCTTGATAGAATCATTGAGCAAGGGGTGAAGAACAACAAGACAATGGAGTCGGAGCTTGTCGCTAGGGGGTTCGAAGTACAGTCACTACGCATCTCGACAAACTCTTTCGAAGATTACTTGTCCATCGATGACGATCACAAGTTTGCACAAGAGCTTGAGCTCATCCGAAACACACTTTCTCGTCATGGTGCGAATTTTTTCAACTTTGGGCCTGCCAGATCAGCGATAGGTTTGTATGCTGACGGTTTTATGCGGGAAATGTGACATCGTTTGGAAGGTCTCTCCCGCGTGCCTAGTCTGCTCGAATCCATGGAGTTGGCTTTTGCGAGTTGTGATCTTCTACCATCCCAGTCTCTCGACGAGATAGATCTTGCATGGATGGGTAAGGTTGCAGATTGTTGCTCGACACTGGCCGATGTACATAGACTCCTCTATTATGTCCAGAACATGAAATGCCTGCAGGGAGGATCAAACAATTTTCGTTTTTGTGCGTTTGCAAATGTAAGTCAGACTGCATTCCTTTGCAGCAGTAGCTTTCTTGAACAGTATTTCCCATGATCCTCTTCGTTTGTTTCCTCTTGCTTTGCAGCCCCCCTGACAATACTTGTACGATTCCTGCATGTCTAGGCTCCACACGGCATTCCTTTTTTTCCTGTTTCATACCATAAAAGTGGCTCGCCGCCATCATTTTCCATCGCTCTTGAAAATGCGGGTGTGTGAATTTGGTCGAATGTGTTTATGGTTACTGAGGAAGTTAACCAGAGCTTGTACGTGAAGTTTTTTCCAATGAACCGCACGATGAAGCCACGCGAGTTCAAACGTGCATGCAATCGCTCAAACACGAGCTTGAACTGGTAACCTTGTGAGCGTGACATCATGGCATGATGTGAACATTTGATGCTCCACGTAAAGATCTGTAAGCGCGTGGAGGAAGCAGCGTTGGAGGTTGAGCAAAAGAATGGCTTCAACTATCTCGGCATCGACACCTCGATCAACCCTGCTCTTGTAATGTCATTGCCTCTTGTTCCCTCAAGTTGACGAGATGCGTTTCAGTCGCGCGAAGGCAGCGTTGCGTATGCCTTCGAGAGCCTGCTGAGGAAGGAGTTCCGATTTGGAGGGGCTGGAACCCTCGGAATAGCTCGTGCTCTCACTTCAGTGGTGAAAGACATCCCCGTCAAACGGGTTGGATACTGCGGGTTAATGCTTCCCATTCTTGAGGACCTCGGGCAAGCCTCAGACTGTCTTTCCTTCAGTCTTGCTCACCGTTTCTCTTGCAGTCTAGCAGAGAGGACGAATCAAGGACGGGTTTCGGTGCAAGGGCTGCTGGCATGGTCTTCTGTCTGCGGGGTAGGGTTGGATACTGTTCCGGTGGAGGGGAAGAGCAGCACAGAGGAGATCAGAAACCTTTATCTGGACATCGCCTCTATGGCCCACCGATTGGGCAAACCTCTGTCATGCAGAATTCTTCCGGTGAGAGATGCCTTTTCCTCTTTAGCATTCTGGTGTAAGAAATTGTGGTCACACTTGATGCTTCACAGATGCGAGGGTTGAAGGAAGGAGAGATTGCGGAGTTTCCGGGGAACCCGTATCTTTGCTCGTGCGCAGTCCTTCCTATCAACTAAATTTCTGTGGCTATTTTATTCGTTCTCATCTCGATGATTCATTTCCACTTGATCTTAGAAGTTTGCTCCTAAGAAATTTGTTTTCTTCTTCTAACCTGACCATCTTGAAAACAAAATCGGCATCAGCGGAATCTTTTTTGATGACAAATATACGACGTACCCGATTTTCCACCTTCTTCAGTCGACCAGCAAGATCGTCAATCTGTTGCTTCAATACTGAGAAGTTCACTTGTTCTGATTCATCTTGCTCTTCGTCATCCGCGATTGACCTTCGCAAGGACGAGGTCCGCGACATGCTTGCCTGCTGCCTGTTGGACCCGCGAACAGACCTGCTGGACCTTCGGCTCTCAATCTCTTCTGAAGGAGAAGAGTTTTCATCCCAGTCATACGAAAACGACATCCTTGAGAAGTCAAATCTGTCCTCGGATAGCGCTGCCGAACGGTTCTGATCTTTCTTCTGACTGTTCTTCCAACCCATGTCCCTCATGACCTTGTTCCTTACCTCGTCGAAAGCATGCTCATCGGAGATTCCTGCCGCACAAGGTCAAGGGCTGAGCCGAGCGCTGGGCATGGCACACCAATCAGCGCAAGGACTCCATCCACCAGAGAGCAACGTAACTGATAATTCAAATCCGTGTTTTCTTTCCTTCACAAACGTCAGTTGGCGTCAAGGGTGGGATCGTGAGGGGTATCACTGTGCTATCCACGAAGCACTATCGTAGGAGAGGATGAGATCTCCTAAGGTCCCTCCTATGCTCTGATGCCATCTTTTCACTCGCTGCAGCCAAACACACAAATTGCGAGGACACCTGCGGGAAGCAAAGATAGCGAAGGTCGTCCGCACTTATGTCCTCTCCCTTCCACTCCTTGTTCTGAAAGAGTGTCTCAGTTGAAACGTCAAGGTGTACGATTTCAAGACGACCATGTCCGAGATGTACGAGTGGGAGCAAAGAACGAGAGAGAGAGAGCATGTCTTGCTTTTCTGGTTGCAGGGAGTAAGCTTTTGTTGTGGACACAAAGATTGGCATCAAAGATTGACATTACCCGCAGAAACAATGTTTGGTATCGCTGCAGAGTCAAGAGCTTCATCAAAAGCTCCTGCGCATCTACGAGCACGGTCGCAAGATCAACCATCTGTGTGAACCCCATTCAGAGCACCAAAGACAGCCCTGCCTGCCCTCCAAGGAGATGTGGTCGTGGGTTGAGGATGCAACTGATGTGGCAACGAGAGGCTACAGGAGAACAACAAGAATATCATGGTGGATCGAAGAAGAAAAGAGATGATGGTGCTGGTGCTAACGTCAATGTCAAGGTCCTCGGCAAGGATGTCCACAGATCCAAGATTCGACGCAGCACGCCCTCTGGTCGCGGTACCTGCCGTATCAGGTGAGAGGATCCGTATCGAGCCGACGCTCTCACAGTATTGGATCTTGGAGATAGGTGCTGAGCGACCAGGCGGAGTCGAACGAGGTTGGGCTGTGATTTGTCTCCTCCCACTGCCATGGCATTCAGGTATGATGACATGACTTCTGTACACAATACACAAACCTGTTGCTACTTTTCCCTGATGGCGATGGATCAACAACAAGGAATTGCTTCATCTGTCTCACCATCTCCGAGGGATCGATAAAGTCTTTCTCCTTGCAGCTTAGCCTGCCAACTCCGAGGGTCCTAGTGACCCTCTCCTCCCCTCTGCCGCCAAGTCTCTGCGTCTCTCCCGTGGGGAGGATGACTAAGGAGGAAGAGAAGAACCCGATGGAAAGGTCGGCGATACAAGCCAGCAGCAGCAGTCTCAACACTGAGCATGGTGACCGCACAACACGCCTCCTCGTCTTCATCGTTGTCCTCACTTCAACATTCGGCCCTGACATAACCCGCATTTCCTTGGACTAGGGGAACGAGCCCCCCTCGTTTCTTCCTCCACTGCCCTGCTGTAATAGATGATTTGCCCTAAGTTCAGATACTGTCCTATCATAGTAGCTGTCACGGTGGCTGACTGAGCGGCACTGAGACCGTACTCGGAGGCTGACCCCGGGCCCCGGCACGGCGTTGAACGGCGGCGACCGAAGCTTCACTGAGTTCTGGCGTCCGAGACTCCAGCCCGGGCCGACGCCGCTGGAAGGGCAGGGGGCTGCCCTTTACTTCGTAAGTCACAAGTTACTCTAGTCAGGGCCCCCGCCGGCCGCGGCGCGCCGGGCGGGCGTGCCACTGCAGTGCAGTCACCGTGGCACACCCACGGGGGCCTTTACTCAAAGGTAAGTTAAAGTTCAGTACGAGGACAATCAGGAGAGTAGTGGAGGCTTGACCCTGACACTCAGGCAGTGACTCCGTCACAGCCAAACGGCAAGGAGAGAAACTGAGACAGCTGATCAAGGAGTACTACGGTAAAGGCATGCAAACTCGGGCCGAACCTGCGGCGATCCAAAGCAGCCTCTCAGAGACTCGGAGGAGACTGAAGGTTCCTGGCTGACTCTTCCGGTGAAGAATCATTGCTTCTTCTTCAACAGACATCACAGGCGGAACAAGTGATAGGTGACGGGGTGATGCCCGAACCACTTGCTCCCATCAGGCAGAAGACTCAAGGGAATCTTGAAGGAGCTGGTGCTCGAGTCAGGGGAACACGCGCTAGTTGATTGCAGTACCGTTGAGGAGGAGGAAGACGGAAGGGGTCGAGCATGAAGTTTAGGGGGCGGTAGAAGGGGTGGTCCGAGAGGAAACTGCAAGGGGGAAGGGTGAGGAGATGGTGAGTAGTTTGAGATGACATGTCAACTCACAAGTCAGCGTTGGATTTTGTCTCATGACTGGTGATCAGGAGATATCTGCAACATGTCCCATGGGGGTGAGAGGAGCGTCAAGGGAGAACAAGGTAGAGGCACCCGCAGCCACTTGCCGCAATCTTGGAGAGAACCGCCTGAACGTGCGATATGGACAAGTACTGCAACAAGGTTGAGAAGGAGGGGACGACAGCAGGATAGCACCTCCAAGAGACATCTTGCAATGATCATTGACTGCTCTGATGCACATCGCAAGGCGAAGCTGGAGGGAGGGGCCGATCAGATTTCAGCCACTCCATCGCTCCAGCCCACCTGTCGTCGGTGACGTCCGCGTGTTGAGAAGTCCAGTCGAACACCTCGATGAGGGCAGGAGGGCCGTGAGTAAACGAACCCTCCGCAAAGTCTACTGAGCGCCATGTAGGACGCGTGAACGTGCTGTAGCGATCGCTCCTCCTCATCGCCGTCACGATCGGCGCCATCCATTCCGACCTGCCTGACCCAAGATCGATGACTGAGCCGATGCCCAGCTCCTGAGAGGAGGAGAAAAGTCAGAAGCTGCTTGCAGCCGGTACAACGGATTCACCTCGAAGCAGAAGAGCATCATGTTCAGCTCGACCTGAGAGGCCTCAGGGGATGTTGGGATCAAGTTGCGGGGGAGAGAGAAGAAGTCTCGGTTGTGCTTCATGGCGTCAGGTACCGTGAACAGCGTTGAGGTCTTCTCTTCGATGCAGACCCACACGAGGTCATACCGAGACTGGAACTCCTCCTGCGGCGACCTCACACGAACCTCGAGCGAGTGCCAGCCAACCCAAGTTATCACGTCAAACTCAAGCAGCTTCGACAAGGGCCAGTGCACGAAGACATCGTTGCCGTACAGGGAGAACGTCGGCTCGGCATATCCCACGATCATGTTGTCGAACAAGACCTCGACCTCGATGTCTTCATCTCTAACTCGACGGAGAGAGAACAGCAAGTCGCCTTTGAAGAAGTCATCTTTGAAATGTTGGCTGAACTGCAACGGCCACTTGATCTTGACGTGTACTACAAGATTGGATCAGATCAGATGCTGCAAACCGTCAAGTCGAGATGTGTCCGTCTTACCTTCTCTGGCACGTGGAAAGGCCTTGCGATGAAGACCTCTGTGCTCTGCTTGTTTCTGCTTGACTGTGGCAAGATGAAAGATGGAAAACTCTCTCCTTGCCATCATCTTGCACCAACTTGTGAGACCGCTGAGAACCTCTCTCACTTGCCCGAACGCCCAGCGCTTGACATCTCCCTTCCACTGCTCGCGACAGAAGTTGAGCTGCAAGACAGACCACATCAGCTGAGCGTTGGAGGACAGCGACTGCGCGCATGCCTCGCTGCAAGGAAAGGCATCCTTATCCTCGTCTGTGACTCTGTCACCATCAGCACGCTGGAGCATCCTCCTCGTCCCCTCAGAGCAAGACAGAGCTTCGCTGATGCAGAGGTTCATGGTCCTCGACAACTGCCGGACCCTCTCTGCTCGCTTCTCCTGCAGACGATGCGGCTGCAGCCTCTCCTCTCCTTCCCAGAACTTGTTCATGATCGTAAAATCTCGGATAACACCCTCCAACGACCTTCCTCCCCTTCCGTCCAACGATCCCAGCCAGATGCCGTTGGCCGCATCCTTGGAGAAGATCCACCCGTCGTGGCTGCACCCCTGCATGTTCAGCAGCAGCTCGCCGTGCTCGGCATAGTTCATCTCCTTAGCGCTCGACACCTTGTTCGGAATCACCAGCTTCCGCCGCCGGCACCCCGAGGTCCAACGGAGGGGCTGGTAGGAGCCGTTCCTCATGCACAGGAGCTGATCCTCGACCATGAAGAAGCTGCTGCACCTGCTGGGGTCGGTGACAGCGAGGTGGGGAGGGCAGGACTCCTTGACCCAGGAGATCTCGGAAGTTGAGACCCCCCTGCTGCTGCTAGACCTCAACTCGAACCCCTTCCCCTTGACAAGGGTGACCCCATGGCACGATGGCCGACGGTTGCAGATCGTGACTGCCTCTGCTAGGGTGCTGTAGACGTGAGAGCAGTTCGACGAGGACAGCAAGCCCTCGTCGTCGTTGTCGCAGTGGAACAGGAAGACGCCTGCGATCGGCGAGCTGTAGGAGCACATAGCATGTCCGGCCGAGGCATCTGCCTGCAGGTGATGTGTAGTGTTCTCGATGCGGAACCTGCAGGGTTCGCTGTCTGAGAGGGAGACGGTGAATCTCAGCCAGCCATGGTGGGAAGCGGGGAGAAACGCCTGAGCGAGGATGTGGGAGAATCTTTCGGAGGTGAGGAACAGTTCAGCCACCACCCGCCCGCTCCCATCGGAGGAGATCATCATGTAGAGTTTGCGATCCTTGAGCGTGTGCATCGACCAGACGACCTGCTCCTCACAGGACGAGCCTCGCGATAGACAATCGATCTTGCAGCTCCACGTGATGGTGAGCTGGATAGGAAGTGATCACAAAAGCAGCAGCAGCAGAAGCAGCAGCAGAAGCAGCAGTAGCAGCAACAGCAGCAACGGCAAATCGCACTTGCCTGGTTCGTGTTGAAGATGCCGGCGAACGGAAGGAAGGCGAACCTTGACTTGTCCAGCGCTAGCCCCAACGAGTTGTCACCGGATGTACCTCGCGAGAACAGAGACTTGTCTTCCTCCTTTCCTTCCTCCTCCTCCTCAAGCGAGTAAACCCTTCCCTCGAGCTTCTCACTCGATGCTTCTCGGAGAAACCTCCCTCCTCCCGTGAGAGGCCAGAACGCCAGTACCTCGTCTGAGCCGGGCTGCGGGCTCAGAGGATGCATGAGATGATCGCATTCCTCCAGCTGAGAGGATGGAGCAAGAGCAGTCTTCATCGCACCGTCCACTGACCTTCTCGTCTCGTTCCCTCCGTCTCCCCGCCCGGCCAAGACGCTCCTCCTCACATGGCTCGACCGAGAGCCCCAGATATGTAAGACCAGGTTTTCCTGGGCACAGAACCAGTTCCCGAGCCACACTGTGGTGATAGCGTGTGGGTGGTAAGAGGGCCAGTGCATATGGGCTGGGGAGATCACCATGACGGCGGGAGACAGAGCTTGCCGCGCCATCATCATCGGGAGGTACGAGGCGTGCAGCCCCATCGTCCCCTCCTCGAAGGAGATGTACTGTGCGATCCACCTCAGCAGGAAAGGATGCAGCCGGGGGCTGACGATGAGCCCGTTACAGATCCCTCCTCCTGACTGCTCCCCTACCACGAACATGTTGGAGGACAGCAAGAACCCGAGGTCCCGCAGGACGAGCACGTCCGTGTCAAGGTACACTCCCCCCCACTTGCGAAGAGCATGGAGTCTGATGATGTCTGCCTGGTGTTGGTACCAGTCGACGCGGTTTCCAAACACTCGCCTTGGGATCGCTGCCTTCACGACAGTGACGTGGTGCTGGATGTCCACACATCCTCGCAACAAGTCCATGTCGTTGGTGTGCAGGTAGATTCGCTCTGGTTGGATGTGATTGACAGTCGATCGAACCGAGAGCGAGAGCAGCTCGTCGCACCGGGCGGTGTTGCGGGGTCGAGGTTCCAGTTGCAGGTGAATGAAATGTACAATCCGTGGCGTGTGCAGCGGGGAAGGTGACTCGAAGGTGTATGTTGCCGCTGTCTCTCCGTGACTGTGAAGTCGCACGACCACGTCGTCTTGACATCTCAGCTCTCCTCCTTCCCACCTCCTCTCGATCGTCAGCCTTCGCCATCCCCACTCTCTGTCGACCTCCAACACAGAGACTAGCTCGTCGGGTAGGAAATGAAACAAGAAACTTCCATGACCGACAGGGACAGGATCGCTGGGAGACGACAAGTATGCGTCTCCAGCATCACTTGTCTCCTCCTCCGACCTCACAACCGCCCAGGCTGCACTGAGGATGTCGACCGCCGCCTCATCCCCGACTTCAAGCATGTCCACATGGACAGAGATGGCTCTGTCGACGGAGTAGACATTGGTCTGAGACACTAGGTTGACGAACAGACAGTTCCATGCCTCCTCTCCCTCCTCGTGCGCCGTCGAGTGAGCATGCTGAGAGCAGAGGAGCAACAGCAGCCATAGCCAGCGCTTCATCACATCATGGCGACCGGATCGAGCCCCCCTCAGCACTTCATCCTAGTCCTGGGGCAGGCAGAGGTCATGCTGCACTTGTATGAGATTCCAGCATCACGTTTATTGCATGGTTCTCTCATGTAGTATGCCTGATGCTGTCATGGAGAACATCAACAACATGAAACGGTAAAAAATGAAGTCTTTTATTGCATGAACTTCCTCGAACTTCCTCACTTGAAGCGAATGCCCGCGATGTCTGGATCTTCCATTCAGGATTTGCAGCTCCAATGCACCTTTTCCAAAGAGCAATTGACACACTGATTCTCAGAATGCAGCGACGTTTGCCCGTTGGAATTTCCGCTTTTCCTCTGCTAGTTCTCTAACCTATGTATGTTACTGCGAAAAGGTGCTGTATGTAACCATGTGTTCAAGTAAATGATGTCACATAGAATCTCAGATCCATTGTCATCATTGAGCACACAACAGGGAAGCACTCATCATCAAAATATTGCTGTTTCAGTGATGTTCAACGAGCGACACGAACCAATAATAAAGAGGGGTACGCTCTTGGCGCGGCGTGCATGCTGGTAGGAGTCTATTCTGGAAGGATGTGAGTTGACATCCTGTTGTCAGTCAGATGGAGAGGCCAAGGTACACGAGAAGGAGGTCGGACGAGCATGTTCCACACCGCGTGAACGCCCTGTTGGTATGCTTCGCATTTGGCTAACACCGACAAATTTAGGGTGCGTTTGTCAGACTCCACTAATTGGCCACGTTGATCAATGTAATGTTATCAATACTACAGCAGTATCCTGTGACTACAGGCAGTAAGAAGTAAATTCATGAATTCATTCAGCAACATGTACAGGATACTAGTCTGACGCATGACTCTGAATCATCCTCTCCTGCCGCAGGAAGTGCTTCTGCGCGTGTGACCGCACTTGCTCCTCCGACCGCGTCCCTATATACTCCGAGATCTTCCTCGCTACCCCCAGACCCAGACCCACAGACCTCCTCCCATCCGGCCGCACCCGGCGGTCGGCGTCGGAGAACATGGCGAGGGCCTCGAGGAACCTGGCCTCCTCGTCGGGAGACCACTGGCTGGAGTTGAAGATCGCTTTCTCAAGCTGTCGGTTGTACATTGCAAGAGATGAAACAGGCATGCTGCTGCTGCTCTGATGGTGATTTTGTAGTGAGTAGATTTGACTATCTGACTGCAAGAGTGATCGGGCGTAAGAGACTCCAGTTCTGCCCTCCATGCATAGCTGGGCGCCAGTCTCCGAGCACGGTTGCTCCGCCCATGGGCATAATAAAGGATCTGCCACCTGGCAATGTCTTGTTGTGCAAGTGCAACCAAGAAAAGCCTCATGAAGAAACCATTCCTGCTCAGCTTTGAGGAAAGTTTCGAAAGAATGCGATGAGGCTCCGTCTGAGAGGAACAGTTCGGCTACAGCGTCGTCCACACTGATGGCTGAAGTGAGTGAAACAGAGAGCATTTCACGGCTCACGTTGTTCTGCATAGAAGAAACGATTGCTTCCTACAAAAAATGTCCCTCGGATGTGATGGTGTAGATGATGGTTTGCTTTTGTCAGCTGGATCACTTTCGGAACACGATGGAGCAAGTGGGCATCTTGGTAGAGCGAGACGTGAGGGGCAAGGGGGGGTTCACTGCGACGACGAGAACAAACCACAGATAGATGGTTCAGACGATAGAAAGTAGAAGGACGAGAAGAGTCAAGGTAGGGTGGGCAAGGTTGCTGTGGAGATTGAAGAGGTTGCCAGCGTATCCCTGGGCAGTATCCCTGGGCGTGGACAGCAAACGAACGGCCTTATATCGCAGGGAAAGAGTTGTCAGCAGGGGAATTAGAGAGGTCGTAGAAGTCTTTGGACATTTCCTGTATGTCAGCATGGCCTCCATTCCTGGGCGGTAATGATAACTCTGACTCTTCCATGTGAAACGTTGTTTCGGCCGAGTCACTCCGGGGGCCGGCGGCCGGGCGGCCCGGCGGGCCGGCCGGGCCGTCGTCGGACGGTCGGACGGTCGGACCGTACCGTACACGGTACCGAGCCGCGGGGGCCGGCGCCGCCGGCGCCGGGCGCGGCCGCGCCGACGGCCGGACCTGACGCTGGCAGGCTTCTCGGAGCCTCCGGCAGTAGTACGGTACGTTGACCGTGCAGGGGCGCGCGGCCCGGCCCGGCGGTGCGGCCGCCCGGGCCCGGCCGCAACTCAGATCCGGGAGCCCGGCCTGCCGGTGACCGGCGTACTGAGGCCCCCCCGGGCCCCGGCGCGCTGCCGGCGGTCACCGGGCCCACTGGGGCCCGCCGCCGGCCCCGCCGGTAGCAAATCCTGGCCCATTAGCTGAGTCATCCTCATACAAGTTCAGTGCTGAAAGTCACTGTCGGACAGTGTGCCTTTACTCACAGTGTGCATGTCGCCGGATTCAAGTCTCTTTACTCAAAGTTAAGTCACTCGAGTCACAGTGACCCCAGCCGCCAACGGCTCCGCCCTCAGCCGTATGTAAGCCATTCTGAATTCATGGCTCGGAGCGGCCTCAATTCCAAAACCATGCTAAAAATACTGCAGCTTCTAGTGTAAAGAAACACTCATACGCACCGTTCCGTCCTCGGAGTTCTCATTGCTGACATTGCTGACAGCCTCTTCCCTCCCTCCTCTCATCAAATAGCTTCCAGGCAGTAAACGCTCTCACCTCCTTCCCCCCTGCTCCCCTTGCCAGTCCCTGGCGCACTGCCGCAGCCAACCCCCCCCCCCCCCCTCCACCCTCCTCCGTGCCTCTTACGGCCTCACGTCTCCTCTTCCACAACGTCTTCTCGTATCATGTGTAATCCCTTCTGCTTCTCACCGGCCCCTTCTGTGGACGATGCGGTCGCCGACCTGGCGATGTCTGACAACAGCCTCCTGGACTCGTTTCGAGCATACCTGCAGGACGAGGAGGCATGGGAGCTATCCATCAAGAGCGCTGACAGCCTGGATCAGGTTGACTCCTCTCACACTAGCCCCAACCAAGACTCTCACCTCTTCTTTCCAACCTGCCCCGATCGCAGTTGGACGGAGGCGACCTGCATGGCTCCGGAGGTTGAGGGCCCTGTATCGTACGCACAGTCGCTGCTGGACTCAAGTGCAGCGTCTCCGTCTGTGTACAACAGTGCTTCTCAGTCAGGCTCCTCCCATTATGCTTCCTCCGAGTCCCAGGCGAGCCATCACCCAGCTGATGTGCTCGGCCAGCCGAGTCAGTCACGGAACGAGCTGAAAACGTACTGCCATCGGCTTGAGAAAGCGATCTTCAACTCCAGCCAGTGGTCTCCCGACGAGGAGGCCAGGTTCCTCGAGGCCCTCGCCATGTTCTCCGACGCCGACCGCCGGGTGCGGCCGGATGGGAGGAGGTCTGTGGGTCTGGGTCTGGGGGTAGCGAGGAAGATCTCGGAGTATATAGGGACGCGGTCGGAGGGGCAAGTGCGGTCACACGCGCAGAAGCACTTCCTGCGGCAGGAGAGAAAGAATCGCAGTTCAGCTAGGATGTGATGGTTACTTTTTGATTGTTGTTGATTAAAATGATGATCTGGTTACTTGTACTGTCAATTTTCCGCAACTACCTTTCATCCCATTTTGATGAAGTCTGATTGATAACTTTGAGAACCAGAAATACACTTCAATATTCGTTGACGTTATCCCATGTAATATTTGTTGACGTTATCCCATGTAGTATTTGTTGAAGTTATCCCATATTTGTTGATGATATCCCATATCATCAGCTGAACGGCACAGAAGAGATTTCTCGTTAACATGAATAGTATTGTCTTTACTCTCTATGCTGTACATTAAACAATCGACACATCAAAACATCCCTCGCTTCACTGATTCTTTCTCTCCTGCCGCAGGAAGTGCTTCTGCGCGTGTGACCGCACTTGCCCCTCCGACCGCGTCCCTATATACTCCGAGATCTTCCTCGCTACCCCCAGACCCAGACCCACAGACCTCCTCCCATCCGGCCGCACCCGGCGGTCGGCGTCGGAGAACATGGCGAGGGCCTCGAGGAACCTGGCCTCCTCGTCGGGAGACCACTGGCTGGAGTTGAAGATCGCTTTCTCAAGCCGATGGCAGTACGTTTTCAGCTCGTTCCGTGATTGACTCGGCTGGCCGAGCACATCAGCTGGGTGATGGCTCGCCTGGGACTCGGAGGAAGCATAATGGGAGGAGCCTGACTGAGAAGCACTGTTGTACACAGACGGAGACGCTGCACTTGAGTCCAGCAGCGACTGTGCGTACGATACAGGGCCCTCAACCTCCGGAGCCATGCAGGTCGCCTCCGTCCAACTGCGATCGGGGCAGGTTGGAAAGAAGAGGTGAGAGTCTTGGTTGGGGCTAGTGTGAGAGGAGTCAACCTGATCCAGGCTGTCAGCGCTCTTGATGGATAGCTCCCATGCCTCCTCGTCCTGCAGGTATGCTCGAAACGAGTCCAGGAGGCTGTTGTCAGACATCGCCAGGTCGGCGACCGCATCGTCCACAGAAGGGGCCGGTGAGAAGCAGAAGGGATTGCACATGATACGAGAAGACGTTGTGGAAGAGGAGACGTGAGGCCGTAAGAGGCACGGAGGAGGGTGGAGGGGGGGGGGGGGGGGTGGCTGCGGCAGTGCCCCAGGGACTGGCAAGGGGAGCAGGGGGGAAGGAGGTGAGAGCGTTTACTGCCTGGAAGCTATTTGATGAGAGGAGGGAGGGAAGAGGCTGTCAGCAATGTCAGCAATGAGAACTCCGAGGACGGAACGGTGCGTATGAGTGTTTCTTTACACTAGAAGCTGCAGTATTTTTAGCATGGTTTTGGAATTGAGGCCGCTCCGAGCCATGAATTCAGAATGGCTTACATGCGGCTGAGTCTCGGAGCCGTTAGGGTGGGGTCACTGCGAATCAGCGTGGGTCTCGACCTTTCTCCGACTCGGTCTCGTGCTGGGCTTACTTGACAGGAGTTAGTGGGGCTGCAGGGATGACACGCTTGAGTAAAACTTTCGTTCTTTGCAATCTCATGTAGATATGGTGTCCGTTGCGCGCAGGACCAGATCCCCGCACCATCATGCGGCCAGCGAGCACCTGCGATGATGGCAGCGAAGGACAGGAAGGCCTTGAGTTGACGAAAGATCCTGGACCACGTGCGTTTACAAGTCGGATCACCTGAGACGTCTTGCGAGGCCGAGAGACCATCCAGCGCTGCCGTTTCCTTGTTCGCCGAGCAATCCTCCAGCCAGCACAGAAAGCGCAAAAAACGCATCATCCTGCAAGAGCCCATCAGTGCTGGTGTTGCTGCTGCTTGCAGTTAGCTCCTCGCGAGCCCAGGTCCGGTACGTGCCATCGGCCTCGGACATCAGAGCCTTTAGGGTACACCTTGTCTCAAGGTCCGTCAGGCGAGCAAGCGACCGTAACAGGAATGTCCCAAGGTCAATGTAGACGCGAACGGTTCCAGCTCCTACAGCAAATGACAACTTCTTCTGTGCACGAGCCATGACAGCTCAACCAAGTGCATCAGCGAGCGGTAGTAACCAGGTGGACGTTGTACCGGGGCAAACGTCTCAAAGCCATTGCTGTTCGCTTACATGAATGTCCAGTGGGCAGGACAACGAAATACAGCTCCCTGACTCCTGTTGCAGACAACTTATGAAGCTGAATCTGACAACAGCAGGGACGGCACTATCAAAGCCCCGAGAACAAGTAAAAAAAATGCTGTTGAGCGGGGGTAACAACAATGGTTGGAGGTTGAACGTAAAGAACTCGACAGTATGGAAACCAAACGTGTATGGGAAGCAGTGGATTCCCCGAAAGATCGAAATTCCAAGATCGTCCCATTTCAGTGGGTGTACACTCTGAGCGGCACGATACTGAAATGGTCGACTTGAAAAATTTAACTGGAGGCAGGTAATATTTGCCTGCGGGAAACCAGATCCGGAAACCTGGTCCTAACAGATGGCCCAGTCTATGCTCCAACATCAGATTTTCAAAATATCAGGCTGATGCGTGCGATTGCTGCAGGCAACAACTGGCCCGGAACTGTCGATGCGAGATATCTCTACGGCTTTCTTGAATGCCGACATCGACGAAGAGATTTACATGTTGCCTCCAGAGCTTCGCAGCAGCTCTGAAGGAGATAGGGTGTCGTCTCGCTGGAGTTGACGATGTGCTCGACAGAGCTCATACCCGTTCCGGAACGTTCTTCTTCAATCATCCCACATGCAGTGTTGGTTTTCTCCAACTGCAGACACCTCTCTTATCCCGTACGATGATAGCGTGCAGAGCTGCTCCGAAAAATAGAGCTGGCCCATCGGTCGACCGGGAGGAAGAGCGTGATGTGCCGGCGAGCTAGAGATTTCTCGTTCCACATGCAAATGTTGGCTCGGGAGGAGCCGTAGGAAACGATCGTGGAGGAGGAGGAGACGTCCTCTACTGGCGGTCTGCGAACAGAGATAATTATTAGTCAGGAGAAGGTGTGGGTCTGCGACAAGGCAATCGCGTGCTCGCCGAACCATGTGAATGCTATCTGCTTCAAGTACCACGAGAGGGACCAAACTTTCAACCCTTGGGGGTTCAGTCTGATCTCAGGTTGTAACTGCGCATGATGGCAGGTGAAAACAAGAAGCTACAACCATTTCTTGGTTGGCAGGCACGAATCATAATTGTACATATTCACAACATCGCAACAATAAACGATTGCTACTCTACACTATTCACATGTTGCTACAACATTCTATACCTGCTGCAATGTGAGAACAATCCTCTTCTGGATCGTGCAATTGCCCCTACCCCTCCACCCCTCCCACTCCCTCCCTCCCTCCCTCCCTCCCTCCCTCCCTCCCTCCCTCCCTCCCTCCCTCCCTTGTTTGTCTTACCCTACAGCATGGCCTTCGCTACGACGACAAGATGAGCTTGACCAGCAGCAAGGTCAAGCGCAGAGAGAGTTCCATGCTTGGCGCTGTAGGAAGTTTGAACGAGGAAGGGAAAAGCATCGGGAGGAGGAATCACCTGAAGAGTTTGACAGGGTAAGGGACGGCGTCCTCCATGTCATGCGGTTCTGGGGATGAGCAGAGTTAACAAAGGAGCAGGACAATAGGGGGGGGAAGACTGAATAAAGATCAGGAGGCTCGTTCACCTGCCCAGAGATAGCACTGGAACCACTCAACTTCCTTCTTCTCCTTCTCCTTCTCCTTCTCCTTCTCCTTCTCCTCGGGCTCCTCCGCCACCAGCCTGACAAAGTTAGGATGCGACGTGGCTGCTTCGAGGAGCTCGGGGTCGTTCCTAAAACGCTCTTTCCTCACGCACTTCCTTCCTAGCTGCTGATATTCGTTCCTCCCAAACGTCCAGACCTCGTTGCAGGTCACAACCGTCCCGTCCTCTCCTGTACCCCCTGCCGCGAGTATACAGGCAGTGAAGAAGCCCCCGCACGCGACCTTCTTGACCTGCCGCGGCAGCCCCAGCACGCAGACAAAGTAGAACTGATCCTCAAAGTTCTCGTGCCCCAGTGCCCCATGGGCCCCCTGCCCGCACGTGAGGAGGCGACCGTGCGAATCGATGATGGCAGAGTGAGCGTAGCCGCAGGCGACATCGTTGATCCAAGACAGCTCCTCCCCGTTAGCTGCGGTCTTCACTCTCCTCAGCAGCCACTCCTCCCTCGCCCCCACGTATCCCAGCCTGCCGCTGCTTCCGTTGCCGCAGGAGAACAGGTCGCCCTTGCGGGTCAGGACGAGCATGTGCTCGTGTCCCATCGCGCACTTGACAGCAGGAGGGAGCGGCTCCTCGGCAAAGCACATCCTTACCTCTCGCGGACTCATCTCGTTCCTGGTGCTCCCTTGCCCGAGTATCCCGCTCCTGCCGCTCGTTGTGACTCACTGCTAGCAGCACGCGGCACTCGCTTACCTTCCCCATCCCCACGTGTACAGCCTGCCCTCCGTCGTGACGGCAGAGCTTGCGTAAGAGCCGCAAGCGACGGAGAGGACGAGGCGTCCAAGAAGAGCATCGACGACCTGCGGCTCCTTCCTGCTGTACTTGACGCCATGCCCGAGAGCTCCGTATCCCCCGAACCCCCAGCTGAAGACAGCGCCGACGTGAGTGAGCACGAGGCAATGCTGCCATCCGCACGCGATCTGCCTCGCCTGGTGCCGGTCGAGATGCGGAGCCCCCAGGAGGAGCGCGCCGCACTCTTGCTGCTGCTGCTGCTGCTGACCCTCCTCTGCCGCCCTCCTGCCCCTGCTCCTGCTCCTGCTCTCTTCAACCTTCCTCGCGGTCCTGCTTACGGCAGGTGAGCCTTTGCTGGGCTTGACAGAGCCGCCGAGATCCTTGATGCCGAGCTGGAAGATGCTGCCTGCCTCGAGGACGAGCGAGGAGTTCCTCCAGGATGCAGCGAGCGCGATCGGTCGTCCCTGCATGCCGATGAGAGAGGAGGGCAAGAGGCGAGGGTAGCAAGGAGAAGAGGAGAGAGACAGAGAGCAAGAGGCGGAAGAAACAGGAGAGATTGAATCATCAAGGAATATAGAATGAGGCAGAGACAGAAGCAGAGCATGTAAGCAAAAAAGCGTCGACATGCAAGAACAAAGACGAGTAAGTAGCAGAGTAGCTAGGGAGCGGGCAATAGTCATCTTCATCGCTCACATGGGGGAGCCGGACGCAACGAGGGCCATTGCCCTCCACGCTAATCGACTCGTGTCCTTGCTGCAGGAAGCGGTTCGAACCCATGGAGACGAGCAGCAGGTTGTCGAGGGGGTGGAGATTAAGGGAGGGGATGTTGAGTTTGACGTCCAGTGCTCCTCCTCGCTGCTGGCAGATGCTCTCCTCCTCCAGCATCTCCATCGCGTTGAACATCTCAAGACATTGCGCCTCCATCTGCTCCACGGGGGAGGACCACAGGTTCTTCATGAAGGAGAGGATGGAAGTTTTCTCTCCTCCTCCCCCTCCTCCTTTCTCGCTATCCCATCTCCTTGCCTCATCTTCTTCCGCCCATTCTCCTGCCTCTCTGCCTCTGCCTTCGCCTCCGCTGCTGTATTTCTCGCGCTCCTCCTCAGCCTTGCGTACATCCGAAGGGCCGGAAGCAGCAACCAAGGACGCGGAGGACCCTACGTCTGCTCCTCCTGCGCCTTTGCCGCTCGATCCCCCGCTCTTTTCTTCCCATGACCCACCACCTTCCTCTTGTTGGGCCGTTTCCCTTCCTTCTACATCCTCTTCCTCCTTTCTTCCTCCTCCCCCATCTCTTCTCGCCTCTCCTCGTTGCCTTCCTTGATTCTCTCCCTTCCCCCTCGCTGTCTGCTGCATCGCCAGCGAGTCCAAGCTCGAGCTTGCTGATCGCTGCACGCGAAGATGGGGCGACATGTCAAGAGATCTCCTCGCCCTCGTCCCGCTTGCCGTCTTGAGCAGCCTGGCAGGCGCCACCTCCTCCTGTCCCGCCTGCATGCTCAGATTTGGAAGGGACGAGAAGGACTTGAGTCTAGCTCGAAGGCTCAACTTGCTGCCTTTCTCCGCCTGCCTGCTGCTGCTCTCCTGATGATTCTGATAGAATCTGATCCTCCTCTCTGCCTCCTTCTTGACGACTTTGCCTTCCAGCACAGCCGTTCCCGCCCCCTCCAGGGCAGCAGGGGGCAGAGAAAACTCTCCCTCCATCCCCATGCTCCCTTCGTCCACTTCGTCGTCATCGCCTTGCGCTGCGAGGATCGACTCGAGAGATTTCTGCTCAGCGGCGACGAGGGTTGAGATCTCACTGCAACAAAAACAAGTTAGAGGATCAACTTGGATGAGAAGATGTTGGAAGACGAGAGAACGAGAAAGAGAGAAAGAGAGGAGTTGGGGGGGCGGGGGGGGGGAAGGAGACAAGAGAGAGAGAGAGAGAGAGAGAGAGAGAGAGAGATTGATCAGTTGCTCTGTTGCAGTCTTACCGTCGTCGTTGTTCGATGTTCGAGTAAACACTCTCAATCCAATTCATCCGGTAGTTCATGTCTTGTGCGATTCTTTCGATGTCCTCTGACGAGGAAGACGGAGTTCTCTTCATCATTGATGATATGGAGAGGGGGGAGGAGGAGGAGGAGGAAGAGGAAGGAAGAATTTGTTCAAGATGTTCAGCCAACAAACTCTCGCCATCTTGTTCAGTAGTCGTCGCTAGTTGTGCTGTTCTGCTTCTTCTCATCCTGGCCAGTCGCTCGAGAATGTCGTTGAGTCCACGAAGATCCTGCCACGTGTCCATCATCACCATCACCATCACCATCACCATCACCATCACCATCACCATCACCATCACCATCACCATCACCATCACCATCACCATCACCATCACCATCACCATCACCATCACCATCACCATCACCATCACCATCACCATCATCATCATTATCATTATCATCATCATCCTTTTTCAATCATCGTCACAATGATATGTAGTCTTACACTCTTCAGGGCCTCAAGCTTCAAGTCAATCGCCTTAGAGGCTGATCGAAAACTTCAGAAGAGATAGACTGACGAGAAAAACAAGGGAGGATGAACAAGAAGCAGAGGAGTGGAACGGGGGGGATGGAGGAGGTGAAAATAAGTAAGAGGAAGACAAAGTAGGGGAGGAAGAAACAGGTGGAGCGGAAGCAAAGAGGAAGAAGGGTATGACAGGAGATAAGTTCAGATTGACTGTCACCTTGATGGCTGTCACGCTGCTGTTGAGAATATTCTTGGCATTCTTTCAGCATCAGTTCGCACTGTACAATGTCTTCAGATACCGCCAACCATCACAAACGAAGTTTGACCTTGTCCAGCACCGAGGCGATCATGTCCAAGTAAGCTGAGTGAGAATTCACATGAGATGAGTATGATACGAACACAATCAACATCGATATCACCGAGATAACCAGAAGTAGTAACAGCAACATCAACAATGCAACGAAGGAAGGATCTTTACCAGGATTTATCGCCCCATCGCACGACTTGCGAGCTGTACCAGCAGCAATCTTCATAGTCTCTGATATGATCGACGACGAGGGCATTGACCTTCTCTTGTCCATCGTGATAGCTGGGAGGAAGTCAAACAGCACCAAACAACTCCAATCTCATCACTTCTGCGACTCTTCTGCCTGCTCTGCAAGCTCTTGCGGATGTCAGGAAGGAACGACGAGGACCGAGGCAAGGAGGAGGACGGCGGGGGCGGGAAGGAGGAGGAGGAGGAGGAGGCTCGAGCCAGCTCGCTCTCGTCCAGGGACAGCGACTTGACGAGCTTGAAGTTCATATTGCTCTTGACCTCTCCACATGCCGTCTGGTGGAACAACGTCGGAAAGGGAGAAGGAGGAAGGAAACAAGAATCTCACCCGGATCCTCTCGACTTCGTTCCCAAAAGTTGACAGGCACTCGTCTACCACTACCTTGGGCAGCTGGAATTTCTGCTGGGACTTGAAGACCCTGTGGGGTCAGAGTCAGCTGGGGTTGGAGGTGTTGTGGGCTGCTGTCACCTGAAGAAGGAAAAGAGATCTCTGAAGACATCTCGAGCGGCTGAGTAATGCTGATGGACAGAGATTGACATGTCAGAAGCGAAACGCGAGATAAAGTGGAACCGAGAATGATCTGTACATCATCCTCTATCATCCTTCTTCATCATCACCACCACTACCTCCACCCCCTCCTCGCCCCCCCTCCTTCCTCCTCCTCCTCCTCCTCCTCCTCCTCCTCCTCCTCCTCCTCCTCCTCCCCTTCCTCCTCCTCCTCTCTATCAGCAGCATCTCCATCATTTCTATCATCATCTGCATCAGCTCTGATGAGAACGATGTACTCTCTCTCACCAAAGACCATGCTTCACATCACATCATCTCATCATCTCTCCCTTGTCTCTTCCTCACTTTTGGAATGCTGCACTTGTCGCATTCGCACTGGTTTGCTATCTTGGACGCCTTTGAAGACACCGAGCAAGCGTCTTGGTGGATGCTAGACACAGCAGCTGCGAACGCGAGGGTCTGAAGGGATGCGTCCTCCGACTCAGTAGCAGGAGAGAGGGTGCAGACAAGGCACAGCCTGCAAGGCAGTAAGAGCATCATTCGCTCTTCACCCTTCCTCCTCCTCTCAGTCACCTAGAGGTCCCGTCCAGACAAGGCTTCAGCAGCCTAGTCAGCTTACTCTCTCGGAATGGAAGCACCAAGTTCCCGCCCTGTGACTTCTGACTGTCGGATAGCCTCTGGAGGATGAGACGGAGGGTGTAGAGCGACTTGTACATGTTGGAGCCCTGCGCCTCCAGCTCGGCACTGGTGGAGAAGGATGCGAGGTCGACAAGGAAGAAGGAGGAGCAGACGTCAGCGGCCTCGGGATGGGAAGCAGCTCGACTGGAGGACGAGGAGACCCTGACGGTGAGTTGAACGATGGAAGTGGAGAGCGGTCTCCGGCTGAAATTCGTCCTCATCTGAAGCCAACACACCAAAGGAACGAGGAGACAAACAAGACAAGAGAAAACAAACGGCGTCAGGCATTCAGCACAGCTTACTCCTCCTCTACACTTCCCTTTTCCCCTCCTTCCCCTCCCGCTCTCCTCTCTTCTTCTCCTCCTTCTTACATCCACAAATCTCCTTCTCCTCTCCGCATTCTGAAGCAGCACAAAGCATTCCTCCACTCCTGATACCTCCTTTTCCTTCAAACCTCGTACCTGTGCACAACCATCATCTTAAACCCCCATTCCCCCCCATTCCCCCTCCCTCCTCCTCCTCCCCTCCCCCCTTCCCCCTCCCCCCTCCCTCCTCCTCCTCCTCCTTGCCCCTCCTCCTCCTCCCCATCCCTCTCCCTCCCCCTCCCTCTTCCCCCCCCTCCCTCCTCCTCCTCACTTTCATGCCGAAGTTTGAATCCCCCCTAGACTGAGTTTCACGTTTTTTGAATCAAAGAGATCGTTGATCTGATTCATCTTTGTAAGTCTTCAACTGCCTCGCAGCAGGCCAGCACAGCACCAGCTCGTTGTATATCTCGAAGTAGGACAAAGAAACTGAAGAGCACGCCGCCTCCTCCTCCTCTCCCCTCCTTCCCAGCTCGTCGAAGAGGTGGCTGAGCAGGTGGAACAGGAGCCCTCCCGCGTCCTGCCCCTCCTCCTCCCTCCCTCCCACTTTCCTTGCCGACAGATCCCCACATGCGGTGAAAGTTTTCCCGCTCGAAGCTCCGCCATAGAACAAGAGCGCACAACTGCTCAACGTTGACAACGAGCAGCAGGCAGCAGCCAACGCACCTGGTCCCTCCCAAGAAGGAGCTCAGGAGCGGGCTGACATGCTCTTCGTACATCTTCCTCGTCCTGCAAGACTTCGTTAAACAACATTGAGTGACAAACTCCGGACGTTCACGGACGAGGGAGGGAGGGAGGGAGGGAGAGAGGGAGGGAGGGAGGGAGGGAGGGAGGGAGGGAGGGGGGGAGGGAGGGGGGCAGTGAAGACAAGTGATGGTATCACGTCTCTTGCGGCCCGTACACGTGCCCTCGGAAGACTGACCGCCCTCCTGCTCCTGCTCCTGCGCGGTCACTAACGAGGTTGAGCAAGGAGGACGAGGGGGACGACCTGTCTGTTTGACGTCGCAGATACGATCTTGGTCGGACTTGCAAACGCTCAATACGCTCTCCTCGCCGCTCTCCTGCCCCGTCACGTTTGAGCAGCAGCACCATGAGGACGAGTCTTCACCTCTTCGTGGGGCAGCAGCGGCCTGATCCGGACAAGCACGGGGATGGCGTTGGACCCTGCAGGGAGGAGGAGGAGGTCAGAGACCTCAAAGGGAGAAAGTCAAGTCACCTCTAGAGGACGAGGACGACGAGTGGTCTGTCGTGACAAGGAGGAACGAGCATCAGCAACCAGAGGTCGTTTCCTCAACATGACGAGCATACCGGGTGTGGGGGCATCCGACAAGAAATCCTCTTGCTCGACCTCCACCTTCCTCAGGAGGTTCTTCCCGAACCTCATGCTGACGTCGGTGGAGACCCTCTGTGGAGGTATGGGGATGAAGAGGTCTCGAGCACCTTGGATCAGACGCTGAACCTCCACGACTCATGCAGACGTTCTTTGAACATGTGGTAGACGTTCTGGTAGACGTGAGAGAGTAAGAACAAGCTCATGGGGAGAGATTTCAAGTGATGGTGGTTTGAATTGCTACCATCCTTCCTCTTGTCCGGAGCTGATTCCTACAGCACATTCTTCATCTACAACACCATCGTTTCATTCCCTAATCTTCCATCTCCAACAAAGTGATCATGTTCTGTCCTTCTGGATTGTTGAAAACATTCATGATTCGTCTGCATCTCCTCTTGCTCGAATCATATTGAGTCTGATATCTTCATCCTCTTATTTCTCCTCCTCTCCTCCTCCTCCTCTCCTCCTCCCTCTCCTCCTCTCCCTCACTTCCTCTCCCTCTCCTCCTCCCCCCCCTCCATATCTGAGTCACCTTCATGTCCTTAGGCCGCTAAGACTTCGCTCAATTCTCCATGAGCCTACCCCCTTATCTCAGTAACACGGAGCTCAGTACCCAAACATTGACCAGTAACTACCCACCAATATTCCTGTAATGGAAAGTGTATTTCAAGCCTACCGGTACTCTGAAGACATACAAAATACCCCTACCCCCTATCCTTAGAGCTATTTGCTACCCCCAAGCCCGGGGATTGTTGGATCACGATGCGCTCCCTGTTATTGCTCTCCGTGATTCTCAGGTGAGAGAAGAGGAGGGAGGAGAGCAGGAGAGCAGGAGAGCAGGAGAGCAGGAGAGCAGGAGAGCAGGAGAGCAGGAGAGCAGGAGAGCAGGAGAGCAGGAGAGCAGGAGAGCAGAGGAGGGCAAGGGAGGGCAAGTTAGACAACAGGATTTGTGAGTCCAAAATGTACGAGTTCATAGAGAAATGTAGCATACCGAAGGGAGATAGATGAAGAAGATCCGAACGTCGTTGTTGACATCACGGTGCTCGTATGACCGGTTCTCGATTATAAAAGTTCTCCTTCGTCTTATGAGAGATGAAGTATCCTCTGCAGATGTCTTGTATCGATGTTCCCATACAGCGGCCAGGGAAACAAAGACGGTGAGTACCTGACTTGTTACGATGACGATGAAAATTTTCCGCTCAGGGCGAGTGAGAGAAGACGGGACGAAGATGTACGGCGATTACGAGGCTCAAAGGTTGGTAGGCCTGGGCGTGCAACGCATAGAGCGAACCAGGGGGGAGCAGTGAGCGACATGGAGGAAGGGTGGAGGGGTCGGGAGGAGGAGGAGGAGGAGGAGGAGGAGACCGTCATGAGAGAGAAACGACGGGATGTGCTGAAGAGATGATGAATGCAGCAGATTGAGGGAGCGGCAGAGGGTGCTGAGTGCGACCAGTCAGAGAGAGCAGAAGGCGGAGGAAAGTGGGAGGAAGGATACGGACAGAAAATGAGGAGGGGAAAGGGAGAGGAGTGGGGATAGAACGATGGTTGACATCCTTGGTTGACTGCAGACACTGGATGGAGATCACGCTGCATCTTCCGGCTCAAGATTGGTACAGAGAAACCAGAGACAACGATCTCATGTCGGTCCCGTCGCTACCTCCTCCCCTCCCTCTTTCCTTCCCTCCTCTCCTCCCTCCCTCCCTCCCTCCCTCCCCTCCCCTCCCCTCCCTCC